ATAAATTCTGTGGACACTATAACTACCTTGCAAGAAAATGTTTTCTATCATTGGGTCGTATTTTTGTCATACCATTGTTGCACATTGGTTTTTAGCCGGGCTCATTGCTTGTAGAGCAATAGCCGGTGTAACGACGAAAAGTGACCCCTGTAGAATATTGACCGGGGGTCATTTTTCTACGTAGAAATTTGACCCCCTGGTCAATATTCTACGTAGAAAAATGACCTACATATTTGTAGAAATTATGGCCTTAGGGTCATTTTTCTCCGTGTGCATTGTCGAAAAATGACCCCGTAGAATAATGAACCCTTTTGATTTTTTGAGGCAAAAACATTGGTTTTGGTAGGAATATTCTTGTTAGACAAATGTATACAGGTAATATTAAGGGGGGACCTATGTCGTTCTACGTCAAAGCAGCGTTATGTGACGTCACAATAGCGACGTTTGTTTTTTCCCCGTTGACTTTTGCAACTGTACCATTGTTATTAATCAATAACGTACACAATTTACAAAAAGAAAATTTATTCATCATTAATAAAAGTTTTATTTGATTTATGGAGTTTGTTAATATTAGAATTTTCTTCCTTTGGTAGATAATTCATAGCAATTTCAGCTGTGAAGAAATACCTCGATGATATGCTGATATATAAGTGCAAAAAGATTTAAGATAAAATTCAGCAAAGAAAGCGGCTTAAATCAGGGAAATATGCTGAATTTTATGTTTACCATTAATTTATTTTCTGGATAAAACTAAGAAAAAAATTAAGAAATGTGCTTGTACCAATATTTGCTTATTGATTTGTAGTACATATAGATTTTATTGTATAAAGTCATTCCTAGGTTTTAATAGGTGTTGGTTGTTGACGGGGAAATGAGGAGGGGGTGGGCATAATCATTAGAATGAGGAAGAAAAGAATTAATCTGTTTAAATTGTTTCTAATCAAAGCAAAATACTCGTTTTTCGCAAAATAGTTTTATATTCAGATGTTTTTCAGTGCTTACTTACCTTTTATTTTAGTGCAGAAAGGTCAATATTTATGACACAAGAGTACGAAAATAAAAGAAAACGTCATATTTCTCGTTTATTTTATCATAAAGGTATACTTTTTGCTTTGTTAAAATAAAGATATGAATCGTTTCTTTCAAAAAATATGAATTACGACATTTTCACACAAAGACTTTTTAAGATATTACCTGTTATGCATGTCGGAATTGTAAAAAATATGACAAGAAAAACGGGGTGATACTTACATTGTGCTACTTTATAATTTTTCATGCGAGATAAATTTCAATGAATTTGCCTTCTTTTTAAAGATACAAGTCATATAAATCAAATACATGTTGATTTCGAATGTGATTTGACATTTTTGGTTCTTTTTAGCGCATATTTGGAGTAGAGCAATAATGTCTGAAAATAGTCTATTTTTAGCATTTCACACTGTTTTTGCACGTGCTCCTGTGTAAATATAAGCATAAAGGTATTGTTTTGAATACCTAGAAATTAAGAGCAAGTGGTCAGGAAAAAAATGTCAAAGTTTTGAAAATTTCACACAAAGACTTTTCGGACATAGCTCCCCCCTTAAACAGCCTTATGATATGAAGTGGTCATTTCTGAAAGCTTTAAAGCTTAAATAACGAAATCAAAGTTATACTATACATGTGTCTTGTATTAATACACTGTAATACAAACTGCTTAATCCCCATTAAAGGAAAACAATGCATATATTAAAATATTCTAAGGCTATTCTAGTAAAGATACGCTAATTCATAGAATTGTTTATCACATTTTATAAAGTAAGATTCCACAGTTGTCATTTTATTGTCTTCTTTTGTAAGGCTTATCATATAAATTGCATTTTAGAAGAAATTGGATTTAATTCTACAAGTGGTAATCCAACCTCTATTCATAGTTCTCTTTCTAATGAAGAAATTCTTCAAAACCATAGGTCAGTTTTAAATATTTTTAAGATCCAAAAAGAACCAAAATGAATTTGAACTAACGTAATATATAATTATTAGATTCCAAAACTTCATAAGAAACAAAGATACATAGCGGGTTCCAGTAAATGTTCAACTAAGCCTTTTTCTTTGTACTCTCACTAAGATATTAACAGTAGTGAAGGAGAGTATTCAAGAGTGCTGTGCAACAATATATTCAAGAAGTGGTGTAAATCAGATGTGGATACTTAAAAATTCCAAGGAACTTTTGGACAATATGAAATCACATGATTTCACGAAATCAACAACTTAAAACTTACGATTTTTCAACTTCATACACAACTATTCCCCACGATAAACTAAAGTCCAGTATTTTTTATATTATTGACAGCTGCTTTTTTCAAAAAAATGAAACTCGTAAATTTACTTACCTTGTCATTGGTCATTTGCAAAATTATTTGTAAAAAAACATTCTGAATGTACACACAAGTACTTTGAAGTTGACATTAAAAGATGCTTGAGTTTCTGACAATGTCTATTTTGTTTTTGGAGACCAGGTCTTCCAACAATATTTTGGAATTCCCATGGGTACCAATTGCGCCCCGTTATTACAGACCTATTTTTGTATTCATATGAAGCAAACTACAAAGGTAGTTTGTTGCACAATTCTGGTTCGATGGTACCGAAACTCCTGTCACTGAAAGTTTTTTTTATTCATATCATAAATTATTTAATGGGACTTTCAAAATTTCATCAAAGAGTTGAATGGTTGTATGTTGGTGTATCGATATATCGAAATTATGGCATGATAGACTAAGAGTTCATGTATATTTGCAAAGTTAGTATCTAAGAAAATCTCAGAAGAAAGGGGGAGATTACAGCAACCATTTGTCAAGTGTCTGTGGGCTAAAAAGTGTTGAAATAATTAGTTATTTTGATGAATTTATAGATATCTGTGAAGGCTGAACTATTATTCACTCAGATATAAATTTTTGCCCGTTTTGGAGGTTTTTTTTTAAGAGTTTCATCTTTAGAACATTCTCGATATGTATCATGGTATAACCCGTATATAGTTTTGAAAAAGTATGTATTTTAAAGCAGAATGCATACAGATTGCTTTAATTTCTTGCTTCTGTGCAAGGTTTTTCTGATTTGTAAAAAAAAATTTTAAAATGAATTCAAATGGCTAAAAGTGTTAATTTGGGGGAGTTCCCTACAATTTTATGTTTATCAGAAAGATGTTCAAAACATATGGAGATAACGAACAGTATCCAAGATCAAAAGTCCATATCATGCCATTTTCGGAACTTCTTTGAGTGAGAAAAAAAACACCCAAAAATATATTCATACATTTATACTCCTCAATAAATTAATACATGTATTTACTCATTGGGGTGCTGCAAACCAAAAAAAAAATCCATGCCAGATACATTGATTATGATGCTACCATTACATGTAAGATATGTTGAGATGGAGTAAAGTATATTCCCTCTCCTTACATTTGAAAGTATGAAAAAAATATCAAAAGACACAGATACATGTACAAGGTTTTATTATATAAAAAAATAGGGGGTCAACTTTCTATGGGGTCATTTTTCAACGTGTGTGGTGTCGTAGAATTACCGGTCTGGAAGGGTTTTCTACGGTCGAAAAATGACCCTACCTGTCGTAGAATATTGACCCTGGGTCGTTTTTCTACGTAGAAAAATGACCCCCTGGTCAATATTCTACGGGAGTCACTTTTCGTCGTTACACCGGCTTTTATTACGGTGTTCAACCAGAAATGCTGCTTCATCACCGCTTAATCAAATTTACGCGTTAGAATATAGTACGTTTGCACAATCACCTTTGAGGCAATACAAACACTAAATTAAATTTTCAAAGTTATCTGAAATTGTCGACAAAAAGTTATAATAATACAGGTATACTTTCTCCCTTTTTCTTTGATTAATTATTTTTTTAAAATATGCGAAGGGTTTTCATCAGGTATCCTTGTCTGCGTCATATTCAATAAAGTTTGTAGTGTTTTATTTAGATGCCAAACTTGTGGTCTATGTAATGGTTAAATATTAAAAAAAAAAAGATGAGGTGAATTTTAAGTTATAATAAACTAATGAACACGAATAAACTTTACTCAAAAGGGAAAAGGAATGGTTGTTAAGTTGAATGATAATGTGAACATTGAAAATAATCTCATTGTTTAATGCATTACTTCAATATACAAGTAAAAGCGACTTTAAGTGTGTTTTTAATCTCTTCTTAGTCATTAGTATAATTATGTATGTCAGGAAATGATGAATTTGAAACCATCAATATCAACACAGTGAAAAATAATGCGCCCCTCTAAAATAAAAAATCCTTAAAAAAAATGTTTCTCCTGATAACAAATTCAAATATGATGAATAACATTATTTATTATACTTTCATGTTAAATACTAAAATCTGATTGGTTTAGACGCACTTAACAATCCGTTCTATTACCCTCAGCCTTAGCAACGCATGTGACAACGGGTAACACAACGGTAATGCCACATGCGTGGATATTATGCGCGTACGGTTCACGGTAGAATTCCCAAAACGTCAGTTGCGCGTTTGAAAGAACTGGAATAAACTTGACATCAATAAAAGCTTGCGTCCGATGTAGCTTACTTGAAAACAACAAACGACAGACGAAACATGCTTGCGAGTGCAGAAATAACAAAACTTTATATGATAAAAGACTCTCAGAGTATCAAACAAACAATAAAAAGGTCAGTAAATCTTTTTAGAAGTAGCGAGGAGTTTGAAAGCTTTCTAAACGTGAAGTAAAGATGATCAACGATTTTTTTTTGCTGACTTAATTTAAGAAGACATTCAGTATAATAAAATAAATGGTGCCTGTTTTGGAGGGTAACAGTTGAAATTGCCACCCCTCGGAAATCCATTGTCAACCTCCGCTGACGCGTCGGTTGACAATGGTTTTCCTTGGGGTGGCAATTTCAACTGTTACCCTCCAAAACAGGCACCATTTATATATTAAAAGAGACATGACACAAAGAATAAAAAAGAGAGAACAATTCAAAAACGTGCAGGTTTTTTTTTATGTAAACATAAGACAGAATTTATGGATGCATATAGGTTTGCTTGTTTTGGTTAAATCTTTGAATCTAAAATGAGATTAAACCATATACTACAGACACATACCATTCTACATCTGAGCAACCAATGGAACCAAAAACACAATTGCAATGGCCACACTTCCTCCTAGAATAGCTAGAAGAGAAAACACATCCAAAGTACTGGCCACAAGCTTCCAGTCCACGTCATAGCGATTCTCAGGGGAATCATCGATTGAAAAACTCTCAATGTCATCAACAGCTAATCGCGATTTCCTAGCTGATCCTTGTCTCATTCTTTCTAACTCGAGTTCATCTGTAGTTAATAATGGCATCTCCTCTTCTTCCTCCTCGTCGTCATCATCCCTCCTGCAGACTCGACAATTAAGACACGCGATGAAGAGGGCAAGACACGAAGGTACAGGATCATCCTCATCCTTCAGGTAGACGCGGAGTGTGAAGATAGTTATGATGGTAGCCACGGCACTAACAACTACCATTGACATAAGAAAGTAACTAAGGATTGCCATTGGCTCAGATGTTCTAGGCATTCCGTCTGCAATTAAAGTTAAGTAAACTGCAAATGCTAAAAATGCTGTGACGGAGTAACCGACCCTTTCTCCACTCTCAAGTGGAAGGACAAATACCAAAGCATTTAGAATACCCAAAATTATAATGGGCAAGAAAAAGTTCACCAAATAGTATGTTGGCTTTCGTGCCAGCGTTATTTCCATTTTGACAAAAGAACCACCATCCAGAGTTTCAACAATCAGTTTTGTATTTGAGAGTGTCCATTCGTCTGATGGGGTATAATCTCTTAGATCCAAACTTGATGCAGTGGGTACAAATACAACTTCTTTGTCACTGTAACCCCAGTGTGTGAAGGTTATGTTACAAGTTTGTCTATCAAAGGGGAAATATGCCACATCTACTACACATCCAGTTTTTGTCACCACACCAGGTCTCCATTCCATTTTACCGTGATTATTGTAGGGATCAGTCGGATCTATGATCCTGTACATTCGAACATAGTTAGAATCATCCCCAACGGGAACAATGGCTGACGCCGAATTGAACAGAGAGACGGGAGGCTTCCAGACAAATCTATGAGGGATAGCAATTTCGGAGAATTTACCATGGGCGTCACTATCATAAGAATCATCCACTAACTCATCATACCAAGTCAGAGTCAGTATCCCAATCACCTCCAGCGTTCCAGCTATTTCGTCTAAATCCGTGATTGCAATTAAGCTGAAGTTAATGTCTACCTCTATGGTCTTATTAAAATTTTTTCTTGGGAATATCAAGTTGTCGTAAGTCTTAGTGGATTTTATGAAAGTGTCCTCTATGAATGTTGACATTTCTAATGCCGTAGAATACACTCTCGGAGGAGCTGTGGTTGTTGTTGTCCCTGTGGTGGTAGTTTCCGGTGTGGTGGTTGTCTGTGTAGTGGTGGTGGTTGTTGGTGGCTCTGTTGTGGTGGGAATGGTGGTTGTAGATTGTTCTGTTGTAGTGGTAGTCGTCGCTGGTGGTTGTGTCGTGGTAGTTGTTGCTTGTTGAACAGTGGTTGTCGGTGCAGGTGGTTGGACGGTGGTTACTGCTTGTGTGGTTGTATCTGTATCCGACCCTCCACCACCATTTCCCTTGTTGCAGCTACTGCCGTCAGAATTTTTGCCACAGTTACCATTGACTTTGTCGATACAGAGCAGAAGACAGAGACAGATGAATACGCTTCTGGTCTTCATTTTTGCTACTCGGGTTTTGAGTTTCAAAATACGTTAAACATTAATTTAGGCATTCTAATCAGTCTACTGTATCATTTGTCCCTTGGCTCTTTAACATTTAACTACTGTTATACTGGTAAGTCTAACAATCAAAATCGTGATACACATATTCATAAATAAGATTTATAGGTGTATTATAAACTATTCAGTTGCAACGAGCATTTATGAATGAGGTCTCTATTTATCAACCCTTTTATGTATGCCTAATTAATCATTAGTCTTTTTTTAACAAATACAAACATTTTATTTGCATAGAAAGTGTATGAAAAGTTAAAAAGGTAGATGCTTTTCAAATTAATAAAAACAAATCTTAAGTAAAAAAGTAAAGAAAGCTAAAAATTTCTGTTTATCTCATACCATAAACTTGATTTTCACTATAATAATCAGTATTTTATAAAAAATAAATTTAAAAATCTTATTAAAATGTAAATGTCCTAATCATTTGTCAGTCCATATTTGGTTTAAATCACTGATAAAATTCATCTTGGCGTTTTTTAATCTTTGCTAGCATACATTTGAAAATCATTTTCATTGTTTTTCATATACATGTATTTTCAGTCGGATTAAATCAAGACTATTCCCTTGTTAAGGCAGAACTCTCAAATTTCCTGATTAAAATTGTTGTCTTGTTGACATAAACTTGTGACTTCGAACTTTGTCATGGTAAGAAATTTTGTCATTTTGGTAACTAGCAGAATTAAAAGTTCATACTTTTCAAAAATATTATGCCACTCGTAAAAAAAAGTTAGAAGGAATGAACATAATACAGTGTGCTTCTATATTGTAAATCTTGGTTGATAGTTGATTTTATGCTCATGTTGTCTCTTTGAATTATTGCTGGATCGAAACTCGTTTTCATCAGATCACAGTATCTGATCCCGATATATCTAGGAAAAAAGTGTTTGCATCCTTTCCCAAACCAAACGTATCAGTCTCTAAGACTTCACCAGAGCTAGCATGGCTTCTTCATAGATAACTTAATGTGCTATTTTTTCATACGTCTGGGTAGTTGAGCTGTTCAGGCTTTCCTAATCTGCAGTAGATCTTTTTCAGTGTTCTTTAAATACATAATCTTTAAATGTTGAATTGTACTCTTTTCAATGTTTTTAGCTTTCATAAACTCTTCTTTTGGTCACGATTCGTTGTATAGCTGGTAGATTTTCATTATTGAAAATCTTCATCTAGAAACAATGTCGAGAATATCCATCCGATGTTTTCCGTTCTCCAAAATCCGTAATCTTGTTTAAATAGTTTTTTTTAAATCGATCTGAATTTATTTCAAGATTCTTCTCTTTGTGCTAACGGAAAAAAGGTCTCAAACTTTCATTGTTTTGTAAATGAATAAAGGAACGAAATGTTCTATACTATATTAATTTTGGTTGGTGTTTAGATATTGTCGCTTCAGTCACCCTGTGTGGTTATTGGATTATTATGTTCGTTCTCTCTTCTATCAGGCAGGAATTAATTTGCAGAGATGACAAGTTTAACACATGATTTAATATCTGAACGATCCCTTTAATCAAAGGAGCATTTCTTTCCTACTGGTTTGTATTCCATATGTTTTCAAAGAGAGACAATTCAGTTCAAAGCAATGTTAGAATATGAATATATAGAGAATAAATAACTGCACTCTTGAACTTGAAAATATCTCTCTCTCTCTCTCTCTCTCTCTCTCTCTCTCTCTCCTGAATATATTTGCTGCAATCTCTCATTTTCTCAGTGTTAAACAAATTATTTCACACAGGAATTCTTATAAAGCTGTGCTTGCTATATTGAAAGACAACTGGAAAGACGATACAGTATGAGCTTTCACCTTCTACACAGTCAGTGAATAAATTTACACCTAAAAATCGCTTCGTAAAAACCTTCTTAAACTGTTATCTGCAGTTATGTTTTCAGTTATTGAGTTTATAAAACGTTCTTTTCTAACAAACATAAATGCCTCTTTTTGATCTAATTCAGCACATGTGAGAAAGGGTTGGTTGGGGCGATTGTTGGATGAATTTGCGTGTTTGGCATAAAAATGATGCAGTATAAAAAAAATGTCCAATATATAAAAAAAAAACATAAAAAATGTATGAAATTTTGATTTTAGACTTCGTGACTTTTGATTTTTTCTGTTTTTTCTATCTCAGAGATAAAACTACTTTTTACAAATGCTTTTCTATCCTAAAATAATAAAAAGGTTTTTTCCATAAATGAAGACTAGACTCAGTTTCAAATATATAATTATAATTATACATTGTTATTATTTAGAAATTTAAACAGCTATTATGATATTTTAACACTTAAATGTATGTCAGTTCAGAAGAGTAGGAAGGCTGTCATTATTGTAATCATATAGATAAAATCCAATTATGAAATACGGCTGCTTCCTTTCTATAATAGAGATTTTCTAATTAAGTATGGAACCATGAGTAAAAATAATATGTTCGGGTAAATAAATGTGGTATCTCCCTAAAAGCAAAAAAGCTTCACACATTCGTTACAACCGATTAAAAAATAATTTTCCGTGTCTATTTAAAAAAAAATCAAGAAATCGCCGCTCATTACATTACATTACATTGCTCCAAAATTTAATGATACCATATTTTAGGCACATGAGATAAATAAATTTTTATCTTTTCACTTGTGCTTCGCATCTATAAAACAAATTACAATTCCTGTACTGAGTATCCTCTAAATACACATGAAACATCAACCACAGATAATTTAGCCCTCTATAGGATAATTATTAAATATATCCTACTTGTCAAATCAAATATGATTAAAGAATGAAATATATAAGAAATGACAATGTATGATTACTTTATAGTGTATTTGAGTGTAAATGTGGATGTTTTAAAAACATAATGCATACAGAATTATTTTCTCTCCACTTTATTTTCGCCCTTTCACACTTGCAAATAATATTGTTCCGTTTTAAATTTTGCCAAGTCACATTTTTTTGTTTGTATGTCACAAAATTTTTGTTTAAAAATTATACTGTATTCTTTGAATTCGCCCATTTTTAAATTCGCTGAACCGAGTTTAAGGCAAAAGGGGCGAAAATAAAACGGAGGGGGGTGAAAATTTTCCTGTATAAAGTATTATGTTGAAACTAGCATACCAGAAACTTAACGATTTATTAAAAATAGCGTTTTACATCTGAGCAACCAATGGAACCAAAAACACAACTGCAATGGCCGCACTTCCTCCTAGAATAGCTAGAAGAGAAAACACATCCAAAGTGCTGGCCACAAGCTTCCAGTCCACGTCATAGCGATTCTCAGGGGAATCATCGATTGAAAAACTCTCAATGTCATCAACAGCTAATCGCGATTTCCTAGCTGATCCTTGTCTCATTCTTTCTAACTCGAGTTCATCTGTAGTTAATAATGGCATCTCCTCTTCTTCCTCCTCGTCGTCATCATCCCTCCTGCAGACTCGACAATTAAGACACGCGATGAAGAGGGCAAGACACGAAGGTACAGGATCATCCTCATCCTTCAGGTAGACGCGGAGTGTGAAGATAGTTATGATGGTAGCCACGGCACTAACAACTACCATTGACATAAGAAAGTAACTAAGGATTGCCATTGGCTCAGATGTTCTAGGCATTCCGTCTGCAATTAAGGATAAGTAAACTGCAAATGCTAAAAATGCTGTGACGGAGTAACCGACCCTTTCTCCACTCTCAAGAGGAAGGACAAAAACCAAGGCATTTAGAATACCCAAGATGATAATGGGCAAGAAAAAATTCACCAAATAATATGTTGGCTTTCGTGCCAGCGTTATTTCCATTTTGACAAAAGAACCACCATCCAGAGTTTCAACAATCAGTTTTGTATTTGAGAGGGTCCATTCGTCTGATGGTGCATAATCTCTCAGATCCAAACTTGATGCAGTGGGTACAAACACAACTTCTTTTTCACTGTAACCCCAGTGTGTAAAGGTAATGTTACAGGTCTGTCTATCAAAGGGGAAATATGCCACATCCACTACACATCCAGTTTTTGTCACCACACCAGGTCTCCATTCCATTTTACCGTGATTGTTGTAGGGATCAGTCGGATCTGTGATCCTGTACATTCGAACATAGTTAGAATCATCCCCAACGGGAACAATGGCTGACGCCGAATTGAACAGAGAGACGGGAGGTTTCCAGACAAATCTATGAGGTATAGCGATTTCAGAGAATTTACCATGGGCGTCACTATCATAAGAATCATCCACTAACTCATCATACCAAGTCAGAGTCAGTATCCCAATCACCTCCAGCGTTCCAGCTATTTCATTTAACTCTGTGATTGCTATTAAACTAAAATTGATGTCCACTTCTATGGTTTTATTGAAATTGTTTCGAGGAAAAATCAAACTGTTGTAAGTCTTACTGGACTTTATGAAAGTGTCCTCGATAAATGTTGACATTTCTAATGCCGTAGAAAACACTCTCGGAGGAGCTGTGGTTGTTGTTGTTCCTGTGGTGGTGGTTTCCGGTGTGGTGGTTGTCTGTGTAGTGGTGGTGAGGGTTGTCGTTGTTGTCGGTGGTTCCGTTGTGGTGGGGGTTGTGGTTGTTGTCGGTGGTTCCGTTGTTGTTGTAGGCGGTTGTGTGATGGTGGTTGTAGTAGCCGCTGTAGTAGATGGTGGTGCTGGTGTCGTAGTTGTTGTACTTGAGGCCTCTGTTGTATCACTGCCTCCACCTCCACCCCCACCTGTCCACCACCCAGGACAACCTGTTCGATCTTCACTATTTTTTCCACAGTTACTTTTACTTTGAACATGGCCGATAGAGACCAGAAGAGAGACACATAGAATAACACATCTAGTCATCATCTTCTCTGGTTAACTTTTGAGGCGCACTGCGCAGAAACCCTTAATATATGCACTGTAATCAGTCTTTAGTGAACTAGCTCTTGGACATTTAAAATACTGATGGACTGTCAATCAAGTAAAGTCTACAAAAATATGATTAATATGCATAATACAAACTATTCAGCACTCACTGAAGAACACAGAGTTTGATGACCCTGAATTGTATACGTTATACGTTGTCAGACTTTTGTAAATGGGATAGAATGTGTTCGAGAATTTTATTGTTTATAAGCTGTGGAACTTTTTGGAAAAAAATTATAATATGTTTATGGATTGAATAACTTATTAGCTATTGAAAGGGTAATGAATGATTTAGAATTTTTAGTGACTTAAATAAGTTACGTTTGTAATGGCAATCAAACTTTTATAAATATTTAAGAATAAGTTTATGAATTATATAGGTGTTCAGCTGTGAGATGTTTATACTAGTATATAATTTAGAATACCGTATACAATCTAAGTATTGTAATTTAATGCAAATTTAGCAATTCTTCCAAAGAAATCGGTATTAAATTTTAGTGAGTAGTGAGAAGTGTTACTACCGATTTTGGGATGCATTTAAAGATAACATTAACTTCAAATGTGGCAATGAATTGATAGCGATATTTAATTTTAGCGCTATCTACATCCTTGCTAAATTATTAAAAGTCCAGCTTATGCGGGATATTGTTTCTCAAAAAAAATTACTAAGTTGTCCTCCAAAGCAGAAAAACTTGATAATCAAATTATTATTTTTTGTATAAAATACCTGTATACTGGTCCATTCAGTATACTGAGTCCATTACTATTACGAGGACAGAGTTCGGTACAATTAACGAGGGAGAGAATAATATAAAAAAAAAAGTTAAATACAGTTTGAAAAATAGTGAGATATCTTTGACTATCAAGGTATGCTATACCCAAAAATTCCAATACAGACATGCATTTCTTTTTTATTGTATCATCGTTCCTTGAAATACCCCCCCCCCCCCGAGATTTGTTGAACATATATTTCATATATGAAGTTATATCAACCCTATTGAATAATTTTTTTTTGTAATTTCTTACAATTCTACTTCATATATTTGGACGTTTGACATCTTAAGGTAATAAAAATTCATTTTACAATTAATGTATTTGATTAAATACCTGGATAAAAATTGTTGAAATGCCACTAATTCAATGGTCGACCATGTTAGCAAATTCAATATTTCGTTAAAATGAATATACCCCTACATACGAGGGTTGTTCAATAAATAATGTCCTGAGCTCTATGACATACAATAAATAAATCATATGGCATTAAGCTTGACTTTCTCTCATGATTGAATCTTTTAATTAATGAATTGATTACAGTTTATTTTACCATTTTTCATCCATAGTTTTATTGTGAGAAGCTGGAAAACAAGGGCTATTCGAGACACTGCATTTAAAATTAATGGTAAAGAATCAGTAAACTAAAGTGACATTAAGCGCTTCATGAAAGCTGCTGTAAAACTCGTTAAGAATCCCAAAGAAATATTCAATGAAATATGTGAAATTTACAGCAATCAATGTATGTTTTATAGGCACATAAGCAATTGGATTTCAATTAACAAAAATGACATAACGGGCATCAAAAACGGGCACCGTCCTCGGCGACAAAAACTTACAACTACCGATGCATTGTTTGCCAAAATTCAACAAATTATAACTGATGATGGTTGACTGACTTAACGACACATAGCAAACTTGATAGGCATCATTTTGGGGGTAGTTTACACTGTTTTAAATAAACATTTGACATTAAAAAAGCTTAGTATTCAATGATCACCTTATGTTTCAAAAATTGAAGCTATTCACGTTTGTCTGAAGTTCAAACAAACAGTAAAACTTGAATCCATTGGTTTAAGCCCTAAAATCAAATTTACAATAAGATGCACTCGACAAAAACAGCCAAGGTCTATAAGGGGCAAAGAAATGCAAAAACACAAAAACAGTTTTATATGCCATTTTCTTAAATATTATTGGTCTTGTTATTCAAATTCTTTTTCGGGGAGGCAGTTCAATTTCTATGCAAGTCTATAAAGCAATTTTTTTGCAAATAAATTGAAAGGTTTGTGAGAGAAATGAAACAGAATCAGGAATCCACTACATTAAATTTCTTCTTGTAAGCGTCCAAACCCTCACGCCATGAAGAGTAAAGTAGTTTTTGGGATAAACAGAAGTAAATGTTTTGTCACACCAACAATATTCGCCAGATCTTTCACCCTTTGACTTGTTTCATGTTCCAAACTTGAAAAAAAACACCTTTCAGAAAGAAAAAAACAAGTCAAAGAAATCATAGGATCTACCATATTCCAGTATACGAAGGGCCATACTCAAAACTGTGTTCTAAAAACAATCAGAAATTGGATAAAAATGTTATGGACATGTGTTTAAATTAAAAAAGAATATTTAAGTGAAATCATTAAGGCTTAATCATTGAAAAGCGGTTGTTTTTTTTTTTGTTTCTTTCCGAGCACCGAGGACATTATTTATTGAACAGCCCTCGTATGTATATTAGTATACTGTGGTATTGAAAGAAGTTTGGAATCTACCACCAAGATCCACAAAAAGGGATTTTTGAGTTTGGACTCAATGTATTGTAAACATACGAAGAGAATAACAGTACTGTTCTAGATCTTATTTTAACCATTTTTCATAAATAGCAAATAATAAAATATACTGTTTTTCAAAGGAAACAATAAAGTAATTTAGGTCTTTTTGAAGGAAAGTTTTAATGTTTTTTAAGGTTAAAATGTTTTAGCAATTTAAGGTTTACAAAAACAGATATTATGGAAAAAGATAGAACATATTTTGTTCAATAATTACAATAACTTGGTGTCGGAAAACTCGTGAACTTTTTTGTATTTAGTTTTTGAGTTCAGAAACGAAAATATTTTGATCCATTCTGCCTGTGTCCTATATGTTTTTTGTTTATTAATAAGTTGAAAGGAATGGAAATCCCCCCCCCCAAAAAAAAAAGATTTATAAAACCTTATATCTATCTGAGGATCTCTTATAAAAGACAGAGGTCTTTAGTTTTTAGACTGATAGATTACGACTCTCTTTTATACCCATTGCTTATTTTACGATAACAGTAAAACTTTAATAAACTAATACATCCTTTCAGAACTGTATTAACCAAATAAAAACGTAAAAATCATTCTGCCAGTACGTGATTTCAATAACCTACATCGAAATGAATGGCTTTGTTGCAAAAGTGTAAGAAAGTTGTTAGACTGAGATTAATTATTGGAATAACATGAAAGGAAACAAAATATTGAAATAACATTAATGGTAATGAAAAAAAATCCAAGTATTCATTTTATTAATTCGCATAAGACCTTTTTGTCTGATCAGACAACTATGTTAATAGTTTCTTAGTTTGCCCGAACTGAAATTTTACTGTCCCTGGGCAATGGACAACTGTATATCTATCCCTGTAATGACTAGGCAAAGCAGTATCGAAATGAAATAAAATGGTAAGTTAATTATCCATTATCCAGCTATAATCTTTTTCACAGAACCTGAAGCTATGTTTGAAAGTGTCATACCGGTTAAAGTAATTGGCGAACTATCGATGTAAGTTTTTGTTTGCAGGGACTCTGAAAATCGATGTGAGCATTTCGCTATTCATGTATATCCAATAGGTTTTATGAAGACGAAATTCCAAACAACCTGTATTAAAATATTGATTCAGCAGTACCAATTGTTAGTTTCATTTGGTTAGAAGTGGAGAATTGAGAGAGATCCAAGTGATGTAGGATGGTTAGAATTATACAGGAACATGGTTAATTTGGATGGCTTATTACTCTTTCTTATAGGTTTCTTATTCAAAGGTAATTATCTTTCTTTAATAAATTATTTTCATAAATCATTGTTTTTTAACTGGTAGTTTAAATTATCATATGATATTTGCTAATAAAACAATATTTTAAACACAAGAAAATAAAACAGAAAAGAAATTAAAAATCACATATGAAAAAAAAGAATTTAAAATTTCTTGTTAACGACAAAGTCAATCAAAGTGGTTAAATTTTAATTTTGTAATTCATAAATGGGCAAAAAATATCGAATTTCATGATAAAACATATAGATTTGTTAGTGGGTGCTCAATAAAGTAGCTAATATTTGTAGTGATTGAAACAGAGTCGGCAAAAGCACACCTCAATGCTTAAGTTTAGATACTATAGTAACCAATTTGTACAAATGTGCTAAGATATATAGGTAATTCAATCCAAAAAAAGGTACACAATAGGCATTGTCATAATGTTGCTAAATTAAAGGAAATTAATGTATTTTAATATATTTTGTCTGTGAATAAACCATTTGTTTTAAAAAATATTTCTTGTATCAGAGTAAAACGTACAATTTGAGATAAAATAGTAAAATCTTCTATGTCATTATGAGCGCCTAACAAAAAAAAGTGCCTGGGATTTTAAAGCATTCCCATTACATTTTACATCTATATATCTAGAATTAAATATAAACTAGAGTTTCTGTGAGCAATGAGCTCACTAACTGATACCCCCGCTTCCATGTTTTGCCCTGGGATACCTGAAATAAGTGTCAGATCAAAAAGTCAAATAGGAGGTGCACAGTGGCATTATGTAATAAAGAAAATGTGAAAGTATCATTAAATTTTATTCAGTGGTATAGGAGGAGTTGTGGGTAAGAGATGGGTATCCTTTAATAATATAGAAAGAATGGCAATGTCCATGTTTTGCTCTGTGAAACCCAAAATATGTGTCGAATCAAAAAGTAAAATAGAAGGTGCACAATGGCATTACGTAACAAAAATTCTGTGAAAGTTTCATTAAATTTCATTCTGTGGTTAAAAAAAAGAGATGGGTACCCCAGAGCGTACCAGACGGACGGACAGACATCTAGACAGACATACGGACATACCGATTACTATATACCCTCCCACTTTTCAAGAGGAGGTATAATAAGAGAGTATCACTTTTTCCTGTAAAACATTTGTAAAATTCTGTAGAATTCAGGAGCATGTGCATGAAAAATACAAAAAGAAACAGGCATTGACTGAGAGTTTTTAACTTCATGAGCAGGTGATAAGCCATATATCAAATCAACTTAGAAATGAAATAGAATGTTGTTAATTAATAAAAACATCTTCGATATATCTAAACGTCGAACGAAAGGCCACTGCAAGAGATTTCTTTCCATGTAGACGTTTTTTGTTATTTCCCGATCATGACAAGGAGCACATGGCGGGTCTGACCGGTACACACCTGATCCCACCTCTGATGTTTGCTCTGCTCCAATTTTGTATTGTTTACTGGATTTTTGAGTTTGAATGCTATTCGTTATCTCCATAATTATATTTAATGTAGAAGATCTGGAATGAATTCTCCTCCCTATGAATATAAAAAAGGTCTAGCTGCTAATTAAGAACGAGGTGCAGTAAGCATATCCATGGAAATTCCTATAAGTAATTGGGGACTTGATCTATAAGATTCTAGAGTTAATCTGATATTTGCCTTTGAGCTTAAACTATGAGATACAGTAGAGTCAGACACGTTCGTGCATATATGGATATTTTAATAGAAAAAGACATCATTAACAAACTAACAAAAGTAAGTGTTATACTTGATGGCTTTTCTATTGTTAATTTCCTCTATGTACAAGTCTGAAGTTTTTATCGTAAAAAAAAATTTCCCACCCTCAACTAAAAAAACACATTTAGACTCCTGTGAATGTATTTAGTTGACTTCAATTTTTTTTTAAAAAATCTCTGTAGCATCATATATTTAATCAACTTTCTTTAAAATCAACTTTAAAGTACGAGTGCATTCAATCAGAATGTTTATTTTAAATAATCACACGACAATATTAATACAATTAGTATAAATCATAAATATTTTTATCTTAGATTTTTTAAAATTAAACTTTAATAAATTTAATACATCTAATTATATAGATTTTCAAAACATTTATCAGTTGCTAATAGAATTATATCTTCAACAAACTCTCTAAGAGATAAAATATTTGTAATTTATGTACTAGTTGTATTAATATTGTCGTGTGATGATTTAAAATTAACATTCTGATTGTATGCACTCTCTTATTAATATGAAATATAAGCGTTTAAAAATGATATGCAAATTGTCAATTTTATGGGGTTTTTTTAATTCCTCTTTTTAAAACAAAGATTTAAAGTGAAGTGTTCATTTTATGTTTTCATTCCTGTTTTAAAATGGATTTAATGTGATAGTATACACAGATGTCCTAGAAATTATCTGATTCCAATCCAATTTTCATCAATCGTTAGTCATCTTTTGTTTCAGAATACAAAGAGTAAAGTTATCCTATTAACCAAAACAAAGGTCACAGCTTTGTTTTATCAAATTGAAAAGCATCTCAAATGTAACCAATCTTAATCAAATAGAGGAAATGTTAAAAGTGTTCTAATTTGCCTTCTCTGGTAACCTTTGTGTACGTTTCAGACAAAATCAATGCTGTTTTTGAAACTGGTGTTATTTAAAGTTCTTCAATGCAAGCTATCACAACTTTGACTTGTTAACTTTGATAACAAATAAAGGGCCATATTCGTAATTTTACAAACTATGGAGGAACTACGTACTATCAGTTCTCAAACATTACTTTTTATAAAGACGAATTTTGAACTGCTGTAGAATTTCTTAATCAATTGTACTATCACTGAAAGATAACAGATGTAAAATGCATAGTTAGAGATTATTTTAAATTCTGTGCATAAAAATAAAGATAACGAACGGTATTCAAGCTCAAAAGGCCATCGAAACAATACAAATCAGGAGCAGAGCAAACGCCTGGAACATCAGGGGAGGGATCAGGTGCCATAGAGGAAGAAGCATGGTCTACATGTACCGAGCAGTCACAGCTGCATTGTGACCTGTGTCATGATCGGGCAGAGGGAAATATCCGTAGTCAATTCAGTGTGTAAATAATGATCTAACAATCGGTATTAGAAATGTCAGTCTGTATTCGACTTTATGATAGATTGTACTTGCTGACAAGGTGATTGAATGGACAAGTAATACATTTACCTCTCAGATGAAATAAGTCCACTGATTCTGTGATTCCTTTTATCGCTCATTTAAATATTTTTATGTATGCAATAAACGCACTTACTTGGATGCGATAGTCGTCTTGACTTTTTTGGAAATCGTCTAGACCTGTCATAGTAATGAAAACATTTTACACAGCTATAATTTTCAAAGTTTTAATTGTTTCTGAATTTTAAACATTGAAGTCTAGTTTAAACTGATGTCTACAAAAAAGTTTGCTTAATCTGTCGACGTGATATTGAACCACTACATGTTTGACATTTTACGTCATACTGTAGGCGGGAACAGCTCTATTTTAATTTTGTAATTACAAAATAAACAGTAAAATGTATACATGTATCTGGTAAACAATTTGGTTCTTGATTCCACAAAACGTCATGTTGCCCTCGAATCCTATCAATAAATGTATATTTTGTTATGTATAATTATTTGAATATAATACAAGTGTAAAACACAGTATTTCATTGCTATACCTAGAGTCTAAAGGCACAGAGTTTGAGTACTTCCAGACCAAGGTCCAGGAGAAAGATGCCTTGGCGGATTGCCAGAGCAGAGGGCAGTACCTCGCCATCATCAACAGTCAGGAGAAGTTTAACCAGGTGTACAGTCTCCTCACGAACAGTGGAAGGTAAATACATGTACATAAACAATATGCCAAAAATATTACCGGGTAGTCAGTGATCATTTGTCTTTTACACCCTGTGGTGTGTAGGGCAGCAACAAACTTCCTCCATCCTTGTCTATCCTGGGCCAGCCTCGTCAGTGATCTCCAGGTCTGATGCATTGCTTTTATCTTGCCTTCAACTGTCCCTCGCCATGATGTTCTAGTCTAGGCCTCCCCCTCTTTCTTTTGCCCTCTGGTGTCCAATGCAATGCTGTTCTAGTTGTTGAATGGGGTTCTTTTCGGAGAACATGTCCAATACATCTCCATCGGCGTTTGGTTATGATGGTACCCATGTCCTCTTGTTTGCATCTGCTCAGTGGTGCCGTATTACTCCGGACACTCATAATGCGGATAATTCACCTTTTAAACAAAATCTGTGTTAAACAATGAACAACTGTTTATGAAGATAAACTTAATGTGTTTCAGTAATCCAAAATGATGCTCAAATGCAAAATCTTGAGAAGGAAAATGAGAATTTCCCTGTTTCGTTCTCTCGATTTCGTGATCTTGCAGTAATTGTTGATATTCTCAAATACTAGTACTCAGTAATTAATATAATTTATACATGCCAAGACCTTTATTATGAGAAGTATTCATGGCCTTTTTGTTACTATACATATCATGTGATTTGGTTTATAGAATTTTTAAAATTAATCTTAGCCTTTCGTATTTAAGATCAAAATTTCACGGTTTATCGACAGAACAAGACATCTGCAAAAAATTTATTCATTTTGATAAGAATAACTGCTTCATTGGTTTGTTCATTCACTGATTTGTCGTCGCATTCTTATATAAATGTGAAAAATAAACATTTTTACAGTATCTGAGCAAAGTCAGAACTTATTTCATAAAATACTCTTGGAATTAAGTAATTTTCAGAATCACAAAAGTTAAATAATATTTGCATGCAAAATACATTTACTATTTCTTTATAAAAAAAAAAAATAAAGAGTTACTGACCATTCAACCTTTTTTAATGAAATGCACTGGAATCCTGCTGCTTTGATTTACTGTAGATCACACATCAACAATGTTTTTTAATCAGAATTGGCTCTTCTGAATTATGTTTTGTTTTGAACATATTTTATTGTATAATTTATACAAAGGGATTGGTTACAAGTTCTTGCAACTTAAAAAAACCTTTCCATGTAATATATACAATAATTATAATTAGTGATTGCCAAAATAACAATTGAAGGTGTAAAGTTATACATATACATGATAAATACAAAATATTTCAAGTTAAGACACTTACTAAAGATTCAGAGAGAATTGTGTCTTCATCGCCAAAAAATTAGTAATAAAAAATAAGCTAAAATCTGTTCTTTTCGTTCAATTATAACACCAAAAAGTTCTCTACATTATAAAATTCTTCTTTTAAAGAGAGGGTCCCACAACAGACAACCATAGAGAAATGCCCTCTGCTCCGGTTTACATAGGAATGAGATATAATGCTGCTCTAAAGCGACACGAATGGGTGGATGGGACACCCGTAGACTGGGTCAACTGGTTTGTCAACGAACCATTCAACGTGGACACGCGTCACTGCGTCAGACTCGATCTCGACTCAGATCTCAAGTTCCGCACGACTGATTGCACGTATCAACATCACTATGTGTGTTCCACTGATGGTATGTATTCATTAAATGGATATCTTTATGTATTGAAGTCGTTAAGGATGACGATGTTTTAATGATATGGTGGATTATGCAAATGCAAATGAAACTGCATGTGACAGGTGTGTGAGTGTTGTGGCCCATGAGCCTCGTATTCTTTGCTGACTGGAATTGATTGTAAAATAAATATGCTTAGATACCACTGGGTATTTCTCCTATATTGAATTAGTTACATGCGCAAGTCCTGCCGTGTACCATTTTGCTAAAACTTAGATTAAATCAGAATCTAGAAACAGAATTTCCTCATTGATTTCATTGTCCTATGAACTAAAGGAAAAATCAATATTCTCTAATTTTAAAACCTGTTTAAGTGCGACACTTGAACATATTTAGTGTTTTGATCTCTACCGCTGTTACACTGTATAATTTATCAACTCAGAAAAAATTCTCCTCTTCTTATATTCAGGACAAACTATGGTCTAGCATAAAGAGAGATGCCGGTGGCCATATTGGAAATGTCAAACTTGCGGTTTTATTTTTCACTTAATGTCAGACTATTGTGTAGATAGATGATCAGTTCTATATTTAACACATAAAAAGTTGATGGAATTTTCAAATAGGATATAGCCTTTTTTTCATTTTCATTAAAGGAAACAAACGTTATTGGGAAAGGCAGTTAAGTGATAGCGAGCATAATTATATTTTACGACAGAGAAAAGTTTTTTTTTCTCCGTAGTCAAATAAATGTGATAATTACAAAAATAAATTAAAAAAATACCTAGAAAGGGATTGGAAATAAAACTAATTGAAATTCAGCTTGACAACCGTGTCAACTTTAACATCCTTAGAATCACAAGACTGCGTGAGAAAAAAAAAAAAAAAAAAAAAAAAACAGCAGTAAATTCTGTAAGGACTAAAATTTTAAGTTTCAATGCAACCAGAAAGTGTGATGTCGGTCAGCAGTCACATCTTGTATTCATAATTAGATGTCACGAAAGGACATTCTAGTTCTTTTGAAAATAAATATTCAGAAAATTTTTGTTCGCCAACATACATATACGATGGACGATAGCTTTTTGGCATGGAAATTATTTAAATGTTCTAACGTTGACCACAAATCGAAGGCAAAATTAATATTGATGTCTCATATAAATTGTTTCCAATATATCAGTGTGTCAAGATTTGTTGAAATATTTCATGCTCATGAATTACTTAGTAAAGGAATGAAATATCGAGATAACTAACAGTATTCAAACTCAAAAGTCCAGTCAAACAATATAATTCGTGCGCTGTACACGCACGGACCTCTAAAACATTAGTGGAGGGATCAGGTGCCAAGACAGAGAAAGCATCCCCTGCTGACCGATCACACCTTCCGTGTGCTCCTTGTCATGATCAAGAAAACGGAAGTCCGTAAACTATGCAGTGTGTAAAAATACTCAGTCAGCATTTAATTTAATGATGAATTGTACTTGCTGACAAAGTTCTTATATTGACCATAGAACCTGCAAAATGATAACAACCTCCTGTAGAGGTCGGGGTTCTATTGTCATTGTTGTGACTCTGTTGTCGTATGGCTTTTTGTTGGATCGTACTTTGGTTACTGCCGGTTGTTGGAACTTTATGATTACTTGATAATGAAAGTGTATCATTGCAGCGTAATTGTTGGACAATTGTTTATGACAAAAACAGCAAAAAATTGTTTAACTATAGATGTACAGTTTACTTTGTAATGTTCTAACAAAGTTTGAAGGAATTTTATTTTATTTATTTATTCATTTTTAATTCATTTTTTTTCAAGCACTAAGAAAATAATGAAAATTAATCTCAATATCAATTTCCTCATTTGGTGCAGTTACTGTAGTAATGATTTACAAGATGATGGTGTATCAGTGGTGTTCTCATACAGTGGATACAATCATAGCGTTTATTGACTGTGATGGTGTTTTATAAGATGATGGTGTATTAGTCATGATCTGATACAGTGGATACAATCCCAGTGTAGTGTTTATTGAATGTGATGGTGTTTTATAAGATGATGGTGTATTAGTCATGATCTGATATAGTGGATACAATCCCAGTGTAGTGTTTATTGAATGTGATGGTGTTTTATAAGATGATGGTGTATTAGTCGTGTTCTGATATAGTGGATACAATCCCAGTGTAGTGTTTATTGACTGTGATGGTGTTTTATAAGATGATGGTGTATTAGTCGTGTTCTGATATAGTGAATACAATCCCAGTGTAGTGTTTATTGATTGTGGTGATGTTTTATAAGATGATGGTGTATTAGTCATGTTAACCACAGTGAATACAATCCCAGTGTAGTGTATATTGATTGTGATGATGTTTTATAAGATGATGGTGTAATAGTCATGATCTGATACAGTGGATACAATCCCAGTGTAGTGTTTATTGACTGTGATGGTGTTTTATAAGATGATGGTGTATTAGTCATGATCTGATACAGTGGATACAATCCCAGTGTAGTGTTTATTGACTGTGATGGTGTTTTATAAGATGATGGTGTATTAGTCATGATCTGATATAGTGGATACAATCCCAGTGTAGTGTTTATTGATTGTGATGATATTTTATAAGATGATGGTGTATTAGTCGTGTTCTGATAACCACAGTGGATACAATCCCAGTGTAGTGTTTATTGAATGTGATGGTGTTTTATAAGATGATGGTGTATTAGTCGTGTTCTGATAACCACAGTGGATACAATCCCAGTGTAGTGTTTATTGATTGTGGTGATGTTTTATAAGATGATGGTGTATTAGTCGTGATCTGATACAGTGGATACAATCCCAGTGTAGTGTTTATTGATTGTGGTGATGTTTTATAAGATGATGATGTAATAGTCATGATCTGATACAGTGGATACAATCCCAGTGTAGTGTTTATTGATTGTGAGGATGTTTTATAAGATGATGGTGTATTAGTCATGATCTGATACAGTGGATACAATCCCAGTGTAGTGTTTATTGATTGTGGTGATGTTTTATAAGATGATGGTGTATTAGTCGTGTTCTGATACAGTGGATACAATCCCAGTGTAGTGTTTATTGATTGTGATGATGTTTTATAAGATGATGATGTAATAGTCATGATCTGATACAGTGGATACAATCCCAGTGTAGTGTTTATTGATTGTGGTGATTTTTTATAAGATGAAGGTGTATTAGTCGTGTTCTGATACAGTGGATACAATCCCAGTGTAGTGTTTATTGACTGTGATGGTGTTTTATAAGATGATGGTGTATTAGTCATGATCTGATATAGTGAATACAATCCCAGTGTAGTGTTTATTGACTGTGATGGTGTTTTATAAGTTGATGGTGTATTAGTCTTGATCTGATACAGTGGATACAATCCCAGTGTAGTGTTTATTGATTGTGATGGTGTTTTATAAGATGATGGTGTATTAGTCATGATCTGATATAGTGAATACAATCCCAGTGTAGTGTTTATTGACTGTGATGATGTTTTATAAGATGATGGTGTATTAGTCGTGTTTCTGATCACCACAGTGGATACAATCCCAGTATAGTGTTTATTGACTGTGATGGTGTTTTATAAGATGATGGTGTATTAGTCTTGATCTGATACAGTGGATACAATCCCAGTGTAGTGTTTATTGATTGTGATGGTGTTTTATAAGATGATGGTGTATTAGTCGTGTTCTGATAACCACAGTGGATACAATCCCAGTATAGTGTTTATTGACTGTGATGATGTTTTATAAGATGATGGTGTATTAGTCGTGTTCTGATAACCACAGTGGATACAATCCCAGTGTACTGTTTATTGATTGTGGTAATGTTTTATAAGATAATGGTGTATTAGTCCTGTTCTGATACAGTGGATACAATCCCAGTGTAGTGTTTATTGATTGTGATGGTGTTTTATAAGATGATGGTGTATTAGTCATGATCTGATACAGTGGATACAATCCCAGTGTAGTGTTTATTGATTGTGGTGATGTTTTATAAGATGATGGTGTATTAGTCGTGTTCTGATACAGTGGATACAATCCCAGTGTAGTGTTTATTGATTGTGATGATGTTTTATAAGATGATGATGTAATAGTCATGATCTGATACAGTGGATACAATCCCAGTGTAGTGTTTATTGATTGTGGTGATTTTTTATAAGATGATGATGTAATAGTCATGATCTGATACAGTGGATACAATCCCAGTGTAGTGTTTATTGACTGTGATGGTGTTTTATAAGATGATGGTGTATTAGTCATGATCTGATATAGGGGATACAATCCCAGTGTAGTGTTTATTGATTGTGATGATATTTTATAAGATGATGGTGTATTAGTCGTGTTCTGATAACCACAGTGGATACAATCCCAGTGTAGTGTTTATTGATTGTGGTGATGTTTTATAAGATGATGGTGTATTAGTCGTGTTCTGATAACCACAGTGGATACAATCCCAGTGTAGTGTTTATTGATTGTGATGATGTTTTATAAGATGATGGTGTATTAGTCGTGATAACCACAGTGGATACAATCCCAGTGTAGTGTTTATTGATTGTGATGATGTTTTATAAGATGATGGTGTATTAGTCGTGTTCTGATAACCACAGTGGATACAATCCCAGTGTACTGTTTATTGATTGTGGTGATGTTTTATAAGATGATGATGTAATAGTCATGATCTGATACAGTGGATACAATCCCAGTGTAGTGTTTATTGATTGTGAGGATGTTTTATAAGATGATGGTGTATTAGTCATGATCTGATACAGTGGATACAATCCCAGTGTAGTGTTTATTGATTGTGGTGATGTTTTATAAGATGATGGTGTATTAGTCGTGTTCTGATACAGTGGATACAATCCCAGTGTAGTGTTTATTGATTGTGATGATGTTTTATAAGATGATGATGTAATAGTCATGATCTGATACAGTGGATACAATCCCAGTGTAGTGTTTATTGATTGTGGTGATGTTTTATAAGATGATGGTGTATTAGTCGTGATCTAACACAGTGGATACAATCCCAGTGTAGTGTTTATTGACTGTGATGGTGTTTTATAAGATGATGGTGTATTAGTCGTGTTCTGATATAGTGGATACAATCCCAGTGTAGTGTTTATCAACTGTGATGATGTTTTATAAGATGATGGTGTGTTAATCGTGTTCTGATACAGTGGATACAATCCCAGTGTACTGTTTATTGATTGTGATGATGTTTTATAAGATGATGGTGTATTAGTCATGATCTGATATAGTGGATACAATCCCAGTGTAGTGTTTATTGACTGTGATGATGTTTTATAAGATGATGGTGTATTAGTCGTGTTCTGATAACCACAGTGGATACAATCCCAGTGTAGTGTTTATTGACTGTGATGATGTTTTATAAGATGATGGTGTATTAGTCTTGATCTGATAGAGTGGATACAATCCCAGTGTAGTGTTTATTGATTGTGATGATGTTTTATAAGATGATGGTGTATTAGTCATGATAACCACAGTGGATACAATCCCAGTGTAGTGTTTATTGATTGTGATGATGTTTTATAAGATGATGGTGTATTAGTCGTGATAACCACAGTGGATACAATCCCAATGTACTGTTTATTGTCTGTGATGGTGTTTTATAAGGTAATGGTGTATTAGTCATCATAACCACAGTGGATACAATCCCAGTGTAGTGTTTATTGATTGTGGTGATGTTTTATAAGATGATGGTGTATTAGTCGTGATAACCACAGTGGATACAATCCCAGTGTAGTGTTTATTGACTGTGATGATGTTTTATAAGATGATGGTGTGTTAGTCGTGATAACCACAGTGGATACAATCCCAGTGTAGTGTTTATTGACTGTGATGATGTTTTATAAGATGATGGTGTATTAGTCGTGATCTAACACAGTGGATACAATCCCAGTGTATTGTTTATTGAATGTGATGATGTTTTATAAGATGATGGTGTATTAGTCATGATAACCACAGTGGATACAATCCCAGTGTAGTGTTTATTGACTGTGATGATGTTTTATAAGATGATGGTGTATTAGTCGTGTTCTGATACAGTGGATACAATCCCAGTGTAGTGTTTATTGACTGTGATGATGTTTTATAAGATGATGGTGTATTAGTCGTGATAACCACAGTGGATACAATCCCAGTGTAGTGTTTATTGATTGTGGTGATGTTTTATAAGATGATGGTGTATTAGTCATGATCTGATATAGTGGATACAATCCCAGTGTAGTGTTTATTGATTGTGGTAATGTTTATAAGGTGATGGTGTATTAGTCGTGTTCTGATAACCACAGTGGATACAATCCCAGTGTAGTGTTTATTGATTGTGGTGATTTTTTATAAGATGATGGTGTATTAGTCATGATCTGATATAGTGGATACAATCCCAGTGTAGTGTTTATTGATTGTGGTGATGTTTTATAAGATGATGGTGTATTAGTCATCATAACCACAGTGGATACAATCCCAGTGTACTGTTTATTGACTGTGATGATGTTTTATAAGATGATGGTGTATTAGTCGTGTTCTGATCACCACAGTGGATACAATCCCAGTGTACTGTTTATTGACTGTGATGATGTTTTATAAGATGATGGTGTATTAGTCGTGATAACCACAGTGGATACAATCCCAGTGTAGTGTTTATTGACTGTGATGATGTTTTATAAGATGATGGTGTATTAGTCGTGTTAACCACAGTGAATATATTCCCAGCGTAGTGTTTATTGATTGTGATGGTGTTTTATAAGATGATGGTGTATTAATCTTGTTCTGATATAGTGGATACAATCCCAGTGTAGTGTTTATTGACTGTGATGGTGTTTTATAAGATGATGGTGTATTAGTCATGATCTGATGCAGTGGATACAATCCCAGTGTAGTGTTTATTGATTGTGATGATGTTTTATAAGATGATGGTGTATTAGTCGTGTTCTGATACAGTGGATACAATCCCAGTGTAGTGTTTATTGACTGTGATGGTGTTTTATAAGATGATGGTGTATTAGTCGTGTTCTGATATAGTGGATACAATCCCAGTGTAGTGTTTATTGACTGTGATGGTGTTTTATAAGATGATGGTGTATTAGTCGTGTTCTGATACAGTGGATACAATCCCAGTGTAGTGTTTATTGACTTTGATGATGTTTTATAAGATGATGGTAAATTAGTCATGTTCTGATACAGTGGATACAATCCCAGTGTAGTGTTTATTGACTGTGATGGTGTTTTATAAGATGATGGTGTATTAGTCGTGTTCTGATACAGTGGATACAATCCCAGTGTAGTGTTTATTGACTGTGATGGTTTTTTATAAGATGATGGTGTATTAGTCATGATCTGATATAGTGAATACAATCCCAGTGTAGTGTTTATTGACTGTGATGGTGTTTTATAAGATGATGGTGTATTAGTCGTGTTCTGATAACCAGTGGATACAATCCCAGTGTAGTGTTTATTGACTGTGATGATGTTTTATAAGATGATGGTGTATTAGTCGTGTTCTGATAACCACAGTGGATACAATCCCAGTGTAGTGTTTATTGACTGTGATGGTGTTTTATAAGATGATGGTGTATTAGTCATGATCTGATATAGTGGATACAATCCCAGTGTAGTGTTTATTGTCTGTGATGATGTTTTATAAGATGATGGTGTATTAGTCGTGATAACCACAGTGGATACAATCCCAGTGTACTGTTTATTGTCTGTGATGATGTTTTATAAGATGATGGTGTATTAGTCGTGATCTAACACAGTGGATACAATCCCAGTGTACTGTTTATTGTCTGTGATGGTGTTTTATAAGATGATGGTGTGTTAGTCGTGATAACCACAGTGGATACAATCCCAGTGTAGTGTTTATTGACTGTGATGATGTTTTATAAGATGATGGTGTATTAGTCGTGATCTGATTACCACACGACAAATGATGCAACTCCAGCGTACTGTTTATTGGTTTAATATGAATCAAACAATACTGCGTGTCCTCATTCTGTTCATCTGTAGAACAATATTCAAGCCTTCAGCTAAATGTCTTTAATTCCCACCAGATTTGTTTTCTTGTTCATTAATTATTTACATCAATTAATTAATTACAAAATATGATACAAGTTAATCCTTGAGGCAATAACCTCTAACATTTTCCTTCAGGTTGCTACCGTCTATTTCAGACGATTTTAGACGAGATATCATTGTATTAGCTGTTCCACATTTAACCGAAATTGATCTTCACTAATAGTTATTTAATAGACCATAGTTATTTTACACCTTTTTCAATTTAGTACAAACGCGAATAGGTTCATCAGAGACAAAAGTCGATGCCACTTTAAAATAGAGGGTGTAGAATAGTATCGATGAAAATGTACTTTTGTATGGTTATAATGGGGTTTAACTATGAAATTTATATTTTAAGGAGCATTTTCTTTCGCTTGAGATGACAAAAGAGTTTTTTTTTTTTAGTGGAGGAAACAATTAATCAAAACTCAAGTTTGCAAGAATACATGACACTCCCCATGCTACATTTAAACCAAATATTATGTTACTTCGATTTAGCAATCTTTGCTGCTATGACAATTTTGATTTTATATGTCAAAATATCAAACCTTGATCGCATCTGAAATCGTATAATGAAGATACGGAAGTAACAAGCATGTAGAACGTACACACGTGTACATTTACAAATAACTCTATAATTTAAAGAAAATGTTAAACTTCAAAAAACCAAAAAGTAAAGGAACATATTAATCAGCTAGTACGCATGTGGTGTCTGAAAATTTTTAACACACCTCATACATATTTCCACACCTCTTACATATTTAATATCCAAAAATCATGGCAACTAGGTTTTGCAGTTGCTTACAACCACGGAAATATGGCTAAAAATTGCCGACTCAGCGTTAAACACTGAAAATCAGTCAACCATTTCAAATACTTTTTGCTACAATTAAACAAGTTTATTATTAAAATTTATTTTTTTTTTTTCTTACAGAATCTGCAGTGACTGCTGTACAGACCACGGTAAGTTATTGCGTGGACCCTGCGGTCCACGCAGTAAATATATAAGCGAAGTTAAACCGGATGCCCTGGGCAAACGACAGGCTACGCATGCGCGCAAATGCTAGAGAGTTTGCACCTTGGTAACTTGTCATAATTTTTAATTAAAATATGCCATGTATTGGCAAATCGCGCTTTTAAATCTGCACATCGCATTTACATGTACATATTCATTGGCAATTCCGATTTCCTCTTTTTTTCATATACTTTTATACTAAACATTGATTCTATGGTACAAACATTTTAAGAAGTTACAATATATGGATACATGTAACTTAACAACTTGTCTTTAGAAACGTTCAACCAGAGATACATGTAGCTTTTAAAGCTTTTAAAGTAGAGCAAGTTTTCACCAATTAATCAATTACAAAATAATTTAATATTTCAGCAATCTAATTATTGTTTGATAAAGGACTGTAGCAAGGGCTTTTAATGTGTGTGTGTGTGTGTGTGTGTGTGTATGTGTGTGTGTGTGTGGGGGTGGGGGGGGGGGGGGCTCCGTAAAAAAACAAATCTGCGTTGTACAGAGGTGTGCTACACGTGAACCATCAGATCTCCATTTTTCCCATGATAAATTTCTTCCGTATAAATCCAGAACAGGTGTCAATCCCAGCCAATATGTGTTACACGTGTCAAAATTACCCAATTTTTTAAACATATTAAAACTGACAAAACTAAAGATCGCTAATCGGAGATTCAAATATCACATTTGTGCTTTGAATAGTACGATGAAAATGTATAAGTTGCAGATAATTTTAGAATAAGTGAACAAACCTTACATGAATATTCCTTACACCTAGAAATTTTCTTAATTGAATTTCAGTTATGACAAAACACGCATATGGTTTTTTTTTTTAAAGGACAGCAACTTGTAGTATAACTAAGTGATGTTAATGTTCTGCCACAATCATCCACAGAATTCATATTATTAATGCCTAGGTCACATTTCCCGACCGGTGGCTGTAGACCGGTTGTAATCGGTGGTAATCCTTGGTGTAAGCGATGCCTAAACATCGGTCCACATCGGCCTAGTAGTCCTTAAAGTATCAGTCACATTATCCAGCGATGGGCAATAACTGCAATTTTTGATAAAAATGGCGTGGTTACAAGGGCCCATATATTGCTAATCATAAAACGATGTACATAATCGGCCGATGTATATTACATCGCTCATAATTTGAACATCGTTTGCATATGCAATTTTGGTAGAAATCGACCGATGATTGGCCGTTATCTTTTGCCCACCACTCAACCTCCCGATGACCTCAGATTCAACGGATATTGGACGATGCTTGGCCATACATCGGCCGATCCTTGAAAGATGTGTTAATAATGGTTTGCCGATGAGGAGCGATGTGAGGCATCGTTGGAGACATTGCTGAATTTTAACTACGAATTATATCCTACCGATGACCCCAACGATTTGCAAAATGGCCTCAGTCACCGTCCGATCACTAGTGGTGTCCGGCCGGCAACCATGCCATTTTCATCAAAAAACGCATCGGTTTCTCATCGTATACCCCATCGCTGGATAATGTGACTTATACTTAAGATAGCCTTATTTCGATTGTGTTCGGATCCCGGAGGTAGCACAAGCCGAAATGCCTAGTTGAGCGATATGGCCCATGGTTCTCTTATTACAACTTTGTTGTGGATGATATGAATTGTGAAGCAAATTTTATTCATACTGTTATTACTAAATTTGTTAGTGTCCTGTGTTGCGCCGTGGTTAGAATTTATCGTTATAAAGAGGGTATAAACAGGATAAAGTAGGGGGTGGTCCCACTCTGGGACATAGGGAGCGCTCCTTTGCATAGACTATAAACAAAGAAAGGGTCTAAATTTGCCGCCCTTCGTCGACAGCAATTACTGGCATCCCAACATCTAAACGAATCAGTTTAATATGCCCCAGTAATAGAAGATTTTTGTCCGCAAAAACTTTTACTCTGTCCATAACTTTTGATTGGTTTGAACTACTGCTTCCAATTTCACAAGTCTATTTTTTTCTGAAAAGACACCCATATTTATCTTTTCGATTTTGACCCTCTTTTGCAAAATTTTAACAAATTTTAACCTTGGCCAAAACTTTTGCACGGCTTGTGAAAAGATCTTTCCTTAGGTAAAAATATTACATCGAAAACGTATGGGTTTTGATGTGCATTTGAAAATATTAACCTGACCATAACTTTTAAACGTCGCCCGCGTGACACATTGGTTAGATCGCTTGCTCTAGAGTCCCAAAATATACATGTAGAGTAGTCCATTACCTCGTAGGTTCGAATCCCATTGCAGGACATAGAGACCGGTCCTTCGGATATAACATAGGTCCTTTGTCGCCGTAGGTACTGGCCCTGAGTCTCCAGCAAAACTTTCAGTCCTGTACACCGGCAGGTGACACGTCTTAATATAAATGAAAATATCTTGAGAGGGACATTAAACAACAAAAAAACAAAATTGCTTTTGAACAGTTGGAGCTGGATCTTTTTTATGTCACAAGTGTATTTCTTGTGAAAGTCCTTTCTTTTTGATCCTTTGACCTTTATCTTAAAGTTTGACTTACATAAAAAATTTAACATTGTCCACAACCATATGAATCACTGTTGCTATGACTTTCACATTTCACTTGGGTATTTCTAGTGTAAGATAAGACCTTCAAGTGGAGGTCATTATTTTGACCTTGACGTTGACATTTTAACTATTTTTGTAAAACTTTAGCCTTTGAAACCACTAAGGCTTTCACATTTGACAGTTATGTTCCTTACGCAAGATCTCTCCTCAGGTACAAGCATTCTTTATCTCTTGACCTTGGAGTTAGACTTGCATTTTGAATTTTCACCTGTCAGTGTTAAACAAACACATCTTGTTTTTACAGAAGAGACAGACATCCAATGATGTGATGATAGTTGGACTCTCTGTGGGGTTTGGTGTGTCTGCGGCTGTGATAGCAATTTGTTGCTTGATGTGCTACTGTTGCTGTAGTTCACGTGATCAACCAAAGCGCCCTCTGCTTCTTCACCACAACTGCCCGCCCAAACCAAGGGCCGTTGTAGGGAGTCTGCGCAGAAAGGAACCAGCGCCTTCCGTTTACTACAGTAAGCAATCGTCTGGCAGAAACAGCAATAATACATCTCGGACCGGAAGTAGTAAATTAGATGATGAGGATGATTTGGACAGTGTTGTGATAAATCCGTCCGATCGACGTACATCGGTTAACAGCGGGGGGATAAGTGACTACCAAGGTAGCAGTGCCTCTCCGCGTGACACTAACGAAATTTTACACTATATTTAGTTTTATTTCATAACGTATGGACATATTCAAAGACATAATTAAAAACATCGATTGATAACTCTGAAAGCAATCATGCAATCAGAACAGTAGGAATTTTCTAATTATTATTTCAGGATGGAACAAACGAAAGCTCAAAGGGGTTGTACAATCTTGTCAACCTTTTGTACCGATTGCTGCAGTTCTGCATTGTTCTTTGTCAAAGGGCAAATATTGCTATTTTTTATTTTAGATGAATCGATATAATTTATAATGCTGATTCATATTCCTTTACATAAAAGTTTTCAAAGTACTTCAAAATCAGGATCGGCGAAATATGGAGTATAGATAAGCATTGTATGAAAAAGTATTTGAAAGCGTATTGTCGATAATATTTGTTTATGTTAGAGTATGTTGCACTAAGTGTGCTAATGTTGTACCTTAGTACTAAACCATCATCGCGAACTAAGCCACCCAGTAACTCACTGAATTTGCTAACAGGGCTGACTGCAATGTTAGAGAAAGTGAAATACATTTAATCAAGTTTTATCCAATCATCGCTTATCAGTTATGAAAAAATACATAAACTTCGTCAGTACTGTTTGAATTCAGCGAGTTTTGTATGTTTGCGTACAAGACATTTTTGTATAGGACGTGATGGTTGCAATTTGCTCTCTCTCTCTCTCTCTTATGATAATGCACATATATTTTGTTGTACTGCTCCTGTTATACTCAAAGTTTGTTTTAACATGATTAAGATTTATTGTTAGATTTTCATTAAAGTCTATACTTATTTAGACCATTCTTCTTTTCTTTGTGTATAAATATAGACGAAACATGCATCCGACGAGGACAAAATTTAACGGGGGCGAAAATTTCCCTGTTTGATACATATTAATATATAATAATACAAATATATATATCTTCGTAAATTATGCATCATTACTGAGGCATACTTTCCATACAAAGTGTTACAAAAATATAGTCCATTCTTTTCTTTTAGGTAAAAAGAATTTTTTAGGCGTTTATATAAGCATTTGGATATAAGCCAAACACTTTCGCAAATAAATGCATAATTTTGCCCCCCCCCCATTCCCGGGGCGGGGGGGGGGGGGGACTCTAATAATACTAGTATCAGATTTCTCCCTCAAAAATTCTCCTATAGACTATAAGAGAATGGCTTTCGGGGGAAACGCGAGTCATGGAGAAATCCTTCTCTACAACATCAATACAAACTTTGACACATCTCAAACAAATATTCCAAAGATATTGGTCTGAGCACGAGAATGTTAAACTTAATATTTTTACATTGATTTTTTTTAACCTCAAAATCAATAGGAATCATCTAGCAGACATTATTGTCCAAATTAAATCTACATTACACATGTTACATGTAAGTATTATTACTATCGAATTGTTCTCATGCAATAAAGTGGTCATAAAGTATTTGGTCATAAATCAAGTGAGGCAGCCGGGGAGAGAGGAAACCTATAGCCTGGAAGAGTATGTTTAATAGAACGAGGTGATATGTGACCTTTTCACCTTAAATATTTCAGAAAAAAAGTAGGTCAGGGGGAGAAACTGACTTGAATTCTGCTCAGAAAACCTCCTTTCATGACTCAATATTACCGCAAAAAACACCTTGTTTCTTAAATCAGTTTAGGTTAATTTTTCTCTAATCAGGACTTTTATCATCATGGTCATTAAAACAATCTGGCATCAAAAGTCATCATTTTTACAAATAAAGAGATTTTTGGTCTGCTTAGCTTGCCAAATACCCTACACTTTTGACTTGAAATGAGAATGTCTTAAAAATATAAAAACCCTTCCAGTTTGACCAGTAGGGGATTAAACAAGAGGTCCATGGGCCACATCACTCACCTAAGTAAGTGCTGTTCTCCACCTCACTTGAGAATTCTTGAGATTTCTTAAGAAGAAAAATTTCAGCTATTCTGGTCTAGTGGATCTTGAGAATAAGATTTTGGAAGATTTGTCCTACATTATATTTCATTGTAAACTTGGATTCCCTATTGTGGCACTATCCTTACCCCAGGGGTCATGATTTGAACGATTTCTAATCTACACTACCCAGGATGCTTCAAGTTTCAGCTTTTCTGGAATGGTGATTCTTGAGAAGATTTTTAAAGATTTGTTCCACTATATTTCTTTGTAAAACTTGGATTCCTTATTGTTTCCCCATCCTACCCCCGGGGGTCATGATTTGAACAATTTAGAATTTACACTTCCACAGGATGCTTCCACATAAGTTTCATCTTTCTGATCCAGTGGTTCTTGAGAAGAAGATTTTTTAATGACCCCTCCTTATTTTTGCCTTTTCTTGATGAATTCCCCTTGCAAGGGGAGTTGACCCTTCTTTTTTTTTTAAACTCCCATTCACCCAAGAATGCTTTGTATCAAGTTTGGTTAAATTTGGTCCAGTGGTTTACAGACAGAGAGACAGCTAGACAGATGGACGACGGACAAAGGGTGATCAGAAAAGCTCACTTGAGCTTTCAGCTCAGGTAAGTTAAAAACAAGTTAAGTTACCCTTGGCAGAGAGGGATGCATGCATGTTAAATGTTTCATTACCAATGGTCAAGTTGGCATAATTAAAATAACAATTGAAAAACGTCATTAGTAGAAACCAGAGAAGGCTATAAGTTTCCTCTCTCCCCGTCTGCCTCACTTGGTTTTTCTAGACTTTTTTCCTACATGCCTGGTGAGTCAACACAAAATAAAAGACATCACTGATTCCACCACATAGCTTAATTCGTATATGAATATTTGACTTAAGATTTCCATTAACAATGAACAACACTGACGTGATGAATGCAGGTTTTCCATTGCCAACTTCCCCTTTTTAAAGATATGTATGCTGTGTTAAACAGTATTTTTGCACAGCTGAAACCGAACAAAAATTTCTGAAGTATGATAAGCTATCAAAAATGAAGCATTCTTGCAAATTCGACGAAATATTATTCGCTATTAACAAAGTACTGGTCGGGAAAAGAACACGATATTCTCATGCATATTTATTAAGGACTGACGTTTATCCTGGATCTGCGCATGTGCGCGGGAAAAGCATCGCGAGAATCATCAGGTCGAGGAAAATATTTTTTGTGACGTCTGTTCAGTGAGGAACCAATATAACTGACAAATCGACCAATCAGCTCAGTGAGTTGCATTTAATGCATTTATGGATTACTACGTAAAATACTACATGTGTTTTTCGAAAAGGCTAGTTTTTTAAATCGCTCTCGGAAAGACTTGATGCATTTTTCCAAGCATTTAAACGCTTAATGCATTATGTACATTATTATCTACTAATCCTATGCTCATATTTGCATACAAATGATTAACAACGATAAAAAATTAAAGTTTTCCCCGCTCCATTGTACAGGTTCGTTTGTTTAGAGTTTCCCCGTGCTGTACTGTTAGTAAAAGGACATTTGCACGTGATTATTCCTCGGTACAAAAAGCAACCAACTCTGAGGTGTGCTCACGTATTGACAATCCCTAACTCACATGTTTGTAGTAAAAAATGTAGTAGACCATCATGCTTTTCGATTCATTCACGAGATTAGACCATTGTTTGCTGTGAGCATGCGAGACCACGTGATCATGAATATTTCAATAAGAGGCGGTTTATTATCCGACTCGGAGAGAAAATAATTTTTACCAAATAATATTTCATAACTTTTAAAAGTGATGGAGTGGAATTGTCTTATTTGCAGAAAGTATATAACTTATATAACTTGATGAGACACCACATATATTTATTTCTTTTAAAATAAAACACAAATACGGCATATATATCTTTAATAGTATTCCAGTGCTATATTTAGCTGGAAGTGATGAATATATTTATATATATATATTGGAAATGGTGTTTATATTCATCTGATTTGATACACAAGAGCATAAGGCCTTCAATCTTGTTTTAAAACAGCACTTTGAAAATTCTCTGTATTTTACAAAAAGTATTTAATATATCAATCTAGTATGCAAATTCAATCTGTGATTGTTTTTTGTTGTTGTTTTTTTGTTTTTGACTGAAATGATTCCTACCAATCATAAAGGCATTGTTTTTACATTCTTTTTGGACTATGGATTATTTATTTACCTGATAAAGAGAGGGATCAAGGCAGAAATGGTCAGACAACAGGGGATGATTAGTCATCAAAGGCATCTAATCCTACCTCTGGAGGTTCCACTGATTTATTATGTTTACCTTCTGCATTAAAATTATCTGAAAGGATTTTCCAAGAGAGCAATATTTACTGTTTCAGAAAGACCATTAACAGATGAACTTAAAAAAAATCAAATTGTTTGAATCTTTAATTTTATTTTTGAGTCAATCACATAACAAATAACAACAGATTGATTTAAATGAAACACTGGATTCATCTCCTTAATTCAATATGCATGTAGATCACTGTTTAATTGCTGGTTACCTGTGTATATTGTATATAAATACTGATAGAATCATCAAACAAAATGTATTAGGATGAAAATGAAATAAAGAACTGTTATTGTTTTTACATTAAAAAACAAGAGGCCCATGGGCCACATCGCTCACCTGAGCACTGTGGCTAGGAAAAAGCAGAATTGGTTTATACTTGAAAAGCTTAAATCCAAAAGTAGTCCCATGACCAATCCTGGCTTTGCTATTCTTGAGAAGATTTTTAAAGAATTTTCCTATACATTTCTATGTAAAACTCTGGTCGGCCGTTTTGGCCCCTCCCTACCCCTGGGGGTCATAATTTGAACAAACTTGAATCTACACTACCTGAGGATGCTTCCATATAAATATGATCAATTATGGCTTTGCTATTCTTGAGGAGAAGATTTTTAAAGAATTTTCCTATATATTTCTATGTAAAACTTTGGTCGGCCATTTTGGCCCCGCCCTACCCCTGGGGGTCATGATTTGAACAAACTTGAATCTACACTACCTGAGGATGCTTCCATATAAATTTGATCAATTATGGCTTTGTTGTTCTTGAGAAGAAGATTTTTTAAAGAATTTTCCTATATATTTCTATGTAAAACTTTGGTCGGCCATTTTGGCCCCGCCCTACCCCTGGGGGTCATGATTTGAACAAACTTGAATCTACACTATCTGAGGATGCTTCCATATAAATTTGATCAATTATGGCTTTGTTGTTCTTGAGGAGAAAATTTTTAAAGAAATTTCCTATATATTTCTATCAGTATCTAAAACTTTGGTCGGCCATTTTGGCCCCACCCTATCCCTGGGGGTCATGATTTAAACAAACTTGAATCTACACTACCTGAGGATGCTTCCATATAAATATGTTCAATTTTGGCTTTGTTGTTCTTGAGGAGAAGATTTTTAAAGAAATTTCCTATATATTTTTATGTAAAACTTTGGTTGGCCATTTTGGCCCCACCCTACCCCTGGGGGGTCATGATTTGAACAAATTTGAATCTACACTACCTGAGGATGCTTCCATATAAATATGATCAATTATGCCCTTGCTGTTCTTGAGAAGAAGATTTTTAAAGAATTTTCCTATATATTTCTATGTAAAACTTTGGTCAGCCATTTTGGCCCCGCCCTACCCTCGGGGGTCATGATTTGAACAAATTTGAATCTACACTACCTGAGGATGCTTCCATATAAATATGATCAATTATGGCCTTGTTGTTCTTGAGGAGAAGATTTTTAAAGAAATTTCCTATATATTTTTATGTAAAACTTTGGTCGGCCATTTTGGCCCCGCCCTACCCCTGGGGGGTCATGATTTGAACAAACTTGAATCTACACTACCTAACAATGCTTCCATATAAATGAGATCAATTATGGCTTTGTTGTTCTTGAGAAGAAGATTTTTAAAGAATTTTCCTATATATTTCTAAGTAAAACTTAGGTCGGCCATTTTGGCCCCGCCCTACTCCCGGGGGTCATGATTTGAACAAACTTGAATCTACACTACCTGAGGATGTTTCCCCATAAGTTTCATCTTTCCTGGCACTGTGGTTCTTGAGAAGAAGATTTTTAAAAGATGCTACCAAATTTTCATTAATTCCCAATTATCTCCCCTTGAATGAGGGCGTGGCCCTTCATTTGAACAAACTTGAATCCCCTTCATCCAAGGATACTTTGTGGCAAGTTTGGTTGAAAATGGCCCAGCGGTTCTTGAGAAGAAGTCGAAAATGTGAAAAGTTTACAGACAGACAGACAGACAGACGGACGCCGGACAAAATGTGATCAGAAAAGCTCACTTGAGCCTTCGGCTCAGGTGAGCTAAAAATTACATTTCAGTAATTGAACATAATCCTTATAATAGAGAATACCAGAAAATCTATCCATGTTGAAATTTAAAAAAAAAAACCTTAACAACAGTCATCTTCAATCAATGTAATAATTACCTGGTAAAATCAAATATGATTTTCATTTCTTCCTCAGTACGTTTAAAATTATTTCAAACCCATGAATTTGTAAGAAAAGAAATCCATTTTTTTTTACTTCCGTATCTTCATTAGTTTATTAATTTTGCTGATGCTATCACAATTTGCTTCTGTCCTGCTGTTCCTTGGTCACAGTTTGCTTGTTGCTGGCTGTTCCTTCATTAGTGTAAACTCCCCATCAAAGGCTGCCTGTATCACATCATCCAATGTGTGTGCCAGTATAATTGTTAGCTCTTTCTGGAAATAAAATTTTTTCACAACTTGCTACTATTGCACTTCATTAAAAAAATTGAAGGCAAACTAGAGGTACTGTGAGCAATGAGCTCACTAAATGATACCCCCGCCTCCCATATGAATATAATAGCAGTGTCCATGTTTTGCTCTGGAAAATCAAAAATATATGTCAAATCAAAAAGTAAAATAAGAGGTGCACAATGGCAATATGTAATTAAAAATCTGTGAAAGTTTCATTAAATTTCCTTCAGTGGTATGAGAGGAGTTGCGGATAAGAGATGGGTACCCCAAAGTGTAACAGACGGACGGACGTACAGACGGACGGACGGATATACCGATTACGATATACCCTCCCACTTTTCAAGTGGGGGGTATAATAAGTATGTAATCACAACTGTGAAAAAAGAAGTTAATCATTCCAAAGAGAAACAACATGTAAGTATGGTGTTGTATTTAACTTACCCTGATATTAGTAGGTATCTCTAGAAGGTCCTTCTCATTTCTATAAGGCATGATAATTCTTCTGATCCCTGCACGATGAGCAGCTAAAACTTTCTCCTTAATTCCTCCAACCTATAGTTAATTATACTTGTATTTTAGCTGAGTTTTAGTCCCTAGAATATATGCATCTTTTCTGGTAAAATATTTCTGATATGACAGATTTTGATTTGAGAGAGTGGAAAAATGAATCTTATGGATAATGAGTGATCAAAAAGTATTTTAAAACTTTCAGAAATATCAATAAAACTAATATTTCCAATGATGATGTAGACAAATAAAAATTCTGTATACTTACTGGCAGGACAAGTCCTCTCAGAGTTATTTCCCCTGTCATTGCGACATCTGACCTAACACATTTACGACTGAATAGGGACACTAAAACTGTTGCTATAGTAACTCCTGCTGATGGCCCATCTTTGCCCACTGCTCCAGCTGGGAAATGGATGTGAATATCTTTCTTGTCCAGCAAACGGTTTTCCTTCTCTAACCCCAACTGTGGAAATATTTAGAAAAAAATGCAAATATTGTTAATCTATTAGATTTTATGAACTGTACTCGTTTTCTAATCCAAGGTTTATTATTTTTTTTACATTCAGGTATCTTAAATATGAATAATTTAATTCTGTTTATAACGCAGTTTCTGACTGGATAAAAAATTTACTTTATACCCATAATATCATATAAAGTAGTTTGCCTACATCACAATGACTTACGTCAGAAACGAATAGATCCACCTGATGAACCCCTACTGCATGGCTATTGAACTCTACTCACCCTTCTGGCATGTGACCTGACCCAGTTCATGGCTAGTGAACTTTACTCACCCTTCTGGCATGTGACCTGACCCAGTTCATGGCTAGTTCTGCGGACTCCTTCATCACGTCCCCCAGCTGTCCGGTTAGGGTCACCTTGCCTTCCCCGTCCATCACTGTGGCCTCTACAAACAAGATTTCTCCTCCCATAGGAGTCCAGGCCATCCCCACCGCTACACCAGGCTGTCCCAGTCGCTGGGAAACTTCACTTTCATATGCTGGGGGCTGTAAAAATGAACAAATATATCATTATATAGAATAGACTTAAAGAAACATAATTTGTTTTTTCCTCCGAGGAGAACAGCAAGCTTCAATATACACCATTTGCCCCTACATGTACATCAAAATATAAAATTAACATTCCCTGTGTTGATTTTTTTATCTACTACATGTATTTATCGATAAAATGAAGTAATATTCTGTTAATATAAATAGTGTTCCTTTCATGAAATGTATTAGGTTATCATTACTCTTTCAAAGAATTAAATGAAATGGATCTAGCTGATAACTAAAAGATGCTTCACAGATGTTTTTAGCAAGAAAGATTTTACTGATTTGAAATACTAGTAGATAGGACAAAATTATAATAACGGAAAGCTTGGAAAATTACATTAAAATTTAAAATAACAAAAAGGCATGTACATGTACACAATTCCTTTGATATTCTAAGCAATGCTAAGGACAGATCCCTCCATGAGGATTGATAGCTCATGAAAGCAGGGACAGAAATACATCTGTTTCAATAATTACAGCAACAAAATGGGAATATCCAACTACAAAAACACAAATGTAGGTACTTTGCATTTTTAGAATTCTTCTTTTCTTTGATTTTACCCCTAGAATATCCTCTAGAGCAGCCTCGTCAATAACTATGGGCATCTCTGGAGGGTGGGCGAGGGTGGACACATCCCGTGACATAGCCTCCGACATGTTGGAGTTGGTGACCTGTTTCTTGTCTGCGGAGGTCTCCAGCTTCTCGTGCCTGGCCCTGGAGCTGTGTTCTGCCACGCGGACCGCCACCGCTCTACACACTGCCCCGATCCTCCGCTCTAATGTCCTCACACCCGCCTCCCGCGTGTACTTAGAAACTAAAACATAAATATGTACATTTATAATATTATACACACTGTCAATACTTCACATAAGAGAGAATTTATTATATTGTTTACATTTACCTATTTTTTATTTTAGCAATATGCACACTGATATACATACAGAAAAATTCCTAGAATTACCGATGACTTTAAGGGTGTCCTCTGGAATTTGTATCTGTTCTGGAGTGAGGCCATTTTCCTTGATCTGCTTAGGCATTAGATGTCTCATTGCTATGGTAACCTTTTCCTCCTGCGTGTACCCTGGGATCTGGATGATCTCCATTCTGTCCAACAGAGCAGGGGGGATTGTCGCCATGTTGTTAGCTGTCGCTATAAATAGGACTTGTGACAGGTCAAAGGGGACATTCAGGTAGCTGAATTACAGATAAGGTCCGAAACATTTAATGTCAAAGACTCAAAGTTATACACAGGTTTTTCCTATTTTATTCAAATTTACATTGATTAAATATTCAACAAAATGGAGTCAGAAAAATTCTCGTACATTAAGATTACAATACATGTACCTTAGACACATATAAAATTTCACAATACCTAATATTTGTTTACATGTGTACTGTTACTCCCATTTTCTATATATGTGCTTGACATTACTAGCACTGCATTTCTATTTTGAAAATGTGATCAATGTCTGAACATATTTTTAGATCTATTAATGATTTCAGTTTTATTTGAATATTTAATCAATGTAAATTTATACTGATAGCAGAGTAATCAAAACACTGCAGCATACAATGCATATAAATGTAAAAATTGACATCAAGTAATGAAGTATATATACTATTTATCATATTGTCACACCTATGCCTTTGTTATAACTTTAAAGTACCTGTAGTAACAAGTGAATAAAAATGACAAAGGATACTGATCTGTAAATGTGTTGTTTTGCTCCGGGTCCAGAACTTCTAGCAGAGCTGCCGCTGGATCTCCATGAAGAGATTTACCCTAGTAAGTAAGGCGGAACTAAGTCATTAATGATAAAAAAAAAGTATGCAATGTAAAACTAGTACGGTAAAAATCTTAAGAATTGTTAGTTTACCAGCTTATCCACTTCATCCAATAGGAACACAGGATTGTTGACACCGACCAATCTGAGACCTTGTATTATTCTTCCTGGCATGGATCCTATGTATGTTCTTCTGTGGCCTCTGATGTCAGACTGATCACAAACTCCCCCAAGTGATATTCTGTCAGAATATTTAAACATTTTTATTATTAAGAAAGATGCAAATAAACTGATAATTATAAACAGAAAATTTGGCAAACTTACTAAGAATACAAATGAAGCGACCCATGACACTTTATTCCCCATTTTAAAAAGTGAGTTATCTCCCCTCAAAATCGGAACTCTTCTACACTAGCATAACTTCCGCGGACTACACGTTACGATAATCAAAATAGTGATCAACTTACACGCTGCATTAAAAATTTTAAAAGAAGGAAACGGTTTGCAATTTTTTTTAGATAATAAGCGATTTTATAAAGGGTCTGTTGCCCCCCCCCCTTTCTAGAAAGCTATACGAATTAGCCAGGCACGTAGCATCGTCTTTAAAAGTGGGGGGGGGGGCAGCCAAAGAAATATGTTTTTTCTTACCTGGAAAAAATGACAAGCGAAGAAAAACCTTGCCCAAAGTCGAAAAGCTACTTATTTCAGTACCAGTTCCTTGGCATACAATGCTACATTTCCCTTATATAACTTTACCGTAGTATAAACTGTGTTGGGGGGGGGGGGTGGCAACCTGTCTTTCAATGAACATTTTCAATAGAAAAAGTGAAACATGAATAACACTAGAGAAAAGAATGTTTTCCGTTAATTAACAAGAAATACGCTAGGAAATTATTGTATCAATTTCGTGTTTCTGCTGTCAATTCTCTGATCTAAAACAAAATGTGTATTTTACTCGGTAATATGTATGTACATATGCTTAGATCCTGCACTAAAGCTTTGATTAAATGCAGCTCAGACTTTATACGACATAATTATGTAACACGAATTCAGGTCGATGCTATTTTAATTAGTCTTTCTTCGTTACATGAGCACATGAGATTAAATTATTCATTTAATAGAATTCCATTCAAAGTTTTAATACTATACATGCATTGAATCAATTATTTTACAAATAAAAAATTCTTGAAACACGGAAATTCAAATGAAATAGGCCTTTTAATTGTCACCAAATGTGTTCTTGTAAGTAAAAGTTCTATTTTATGACATACAATCGAGCAAAAACGCAGTTTCTTGGTATCGGTCGCGGAAGACGAACTACTGCTGTATATGCAGCAATTTCAGGGGTAAAACTGTAGATGGACATGTCATCAGTCTCCAAAAAATTCCTAGAGATGCAGAGAAGAAAATATGGCTGCAGCAGGCAAGATTAATTCGTAAAAACTAAAAATTCTTATATTTGTTCTGCCCATTTTGTAAATAATGATGATCTGTCTGCAGAACATCCACTACCGAAAATTAGCTTTTTTTTCTTTTTTAAATAGGCCTATTCGAATATGCATCAGCATTTTATCAGTAATTTGTTTCTTTTTTTTTTTTTCCAAAAATTTCCTAAGGGGGGGGGGGGGGGCTCACACAGCGCCTTATTATACTACTATACAGATTAATACAAATCCAGAAAGAGACTATGAGTGGGCAATTTAAAAAAATACGAATCAGTTAAGATTTCTTTTTATTCACAAACACAATAACATTTTTCCATATGACAGAGGCATTACACCATGAACATGTTTACATCAAGAACGCCCGCGGAAGTGACTTTATTTATAGCGCATGCGTATTAAACACAGTAAAAGAGTTCCCTTCAGGGGAAATAACTCACCTTTTGAAAATGGGGAATAGCATGAGTTTATACATGCAACTATATAAATAATAGAATATGTATAAATGTAATGTTTGTGAGCACATGTAGGTCTTTAAAAAGATCTGAGTCTTGTGCACTTCCATCAAGTTGGTTACATAATATACCGGTAGTTGAAATTCCATTGTTTTTTACACTGCAATATTGCTTCGAGACAAAACTGATGAAGTTTCATCACTTTTGTTATCATCAAGCATATACAAACCTGTGAAATTCTCTTCCTAGTGTATGTGCTATAGATTTCCCCACACTGGTTTTTCCCACCCCTGGGGGTCCAACAAAACACAAGATCGGCCCCTTCAGGGAATTCTTCAGCTGACGAACAGCCAAATATTCAATCACCCTCTTCTTCAGTTTGTCAAGACCATAATGATCCACATCCAAATCTTTCCTGCAAAAAGATAATGCAATGTACATGTACATACTGAAATATCTTCATTGTTGTTTCTACAAAATTTACTTTGTTAAAGTGTACAAGCAATTGTTTAGTTTAGAAAAACAATGCATACCTGGCTTGTAAAACATCTAAAGCATCTTTGCTGTTCTTAGACCAAGGAAGCTCTACCATCAGCTCTAAATAATTCCTGTAATTAAAGAAAAACACATGTATATTCAGGTATAAGGAATAGTTCCCATGAGAAATAATTAGGGATGTCAACGAGTACCCGGTTAACCGGGTACTCGATCGAACGTCCGAGTATCGAATACTAAAATCGGTACTCGGTTACTCGGATGTATATTTTTGAATATTTCTAAGCTTATATATTAATGCATTAAACAATCTGTTTTAAAATGTAAAAATACTCAATGCACTTGTACATACAGTAATTAGGGTTTCCTACTCCTCTAAATGACTGTTATCGCCCATGGCAGTGTTTATACAGTAATTATCGATCGTGAGAGCACCTGTTACCTGGCTTTTCTCACCTTCGGCTGTCTTCTACCCTTATTTTTTGACTTTCTTTAATTATTTGTTTTCACTGAACATCGTTTAATCAAGGTCTGTTATGATTAGATAAATTAGATAATTTTGTCAATTCTCCGAGAAGCCGTAAATTCTCGGGAAAAGAGACAGATGATATTACACGCGCGACTGTTGATATGGTTGTGTTTGATTACATGCCAATACATGTACAAATAGTTGAAGGCAAAGGCTTTTAAAAAGCTGATGTCCATCGTTGCACCAAACTACAAAATACCGTCCTGTGATACTATAAAATCTAGGATCGAAAAGTTTACGAAAATCTTAAATCGGCTCTGTTAGAACTTGGTCAAGTTCAAGTCAAACTGTACGACTCTGATATATATAACTTGACGTCAAATGCAACAAAGAATTTTATTACAATAACGGAGTAAATTATTTTTCTTTAAACAAAAAGACCATTGTCTTACGATTTTATTTCTTGTGTTTATCTGATAAATAAATTGAACTTAAAAAAATGTATTAAATTTCGTCGGGCACGAAGTTCTCATCATTGTTACAACAGAAATGCATTTACGTGTAAACCTCCTATCAGAGCATGTGATTTTATCTCTACAGGTGTTTACAATGTTTTACATTTATCAATTTTCTTGTTTATATTTATTTACACTTTTACCGAGTACCCGGGTACTCGATCGGAAAAACGTCCGAGTAACCGAGTATTAAAAATTGACCGATTTGACATCCCTAGAAATAATGCATATCCACTTTAAATGGAATGATCATTTCATGCACAATGTTGGAGTATTTGCATATCAGTACTAGTAAGCCTTCTACTAATTCTTAATTCAGTTATGCTTGTTTAATGTTGGGGAGGGAATGCCTCACAGATCTACAGTCAGAATAGAAAATTAATATTCAGCATCTAAGGATGATCACTTGATGTTGACTACCTAAGACAGGGCTCTTAGTTTAAAAAGTCTTGACTCATCCAGCTGTATATCTGAACCTGTATCACAAGTTTCACAATGCTACACTAGAATTAACCTTTGCATAGAGGGTACACCAACTAGAAAACTGACCAGTCAGCAAGGGCCCCGCCATGGGGTAGAATTATAAGGGTGCAGCTTACAGAATGATTAAAAAATGTACGAAGTATAAGCAACAGCAACTGTATTCTTAAAATTTCAAGATAATTCCTGAATATTCAAAAACCTGTAAATAATACCCTTGTATTTACATTAGGCAGTAAAGAACAACTTAATATTGAATGTATATTTAAACAATAATGAAGCTTAATGTTACATAAAATGCCAGCCTTCAATGAATGGAAATATCATGAAGACTTGACCTTAACTTCAAAACAAACAGCAGTTGCAAAAGTTTTCATTAATCTTAAAGTGACAGATAAAGATAAGCCTACTCAATTTTCTGCAGCAGGCTAGATAATTAATCCAAAGGGATTAACTGTACCTCTCACATACATGCCAACTTTTGAAAATTCCCATGGGGGATTTTGCGCGTGACGATAATTTTCAAAGCTTTAAATTCGCAACATTTTGTCGTGAAAATAAATGAGTATTAAATACTTTTTTAATAAAATTATAATATTGATAGCACTTATTAATACAGCACAAATAAAACAATACAAATTAAAGTTTTATTTTTCCAAATTTAAGTATCTTTGCTTAATAGTTGTCACTCTTTTCTATCAATTTACATTTTGTTTCTGGTATGTACCCTTAAAACAAGTGTCACTTTATTTCCTATAAGTAAGTATATAGACAGTGCATGATTATTTTTATCTCACACACAAAACAATCTGGAGAAATAGGCCTAATTAAATCATGAATTTTTTAACACAAGCCCCACCCCCACCCATCCCAAAGAAAAATTAAAATTGTAAAAGACTACATTATGAACATGATGAACTTTTGCAGTCTTGGCAATGCCATATGGGTCTCTGGTATTTCCTTGACATATGTGTAACAAAGAAATACCATGTACAATATGAGTATGATCTATGGGAGAATGGTGGGGGCGGGAGAGAGAGAGAAATTTAGTGTACTTAACATGAGAGTATTATTTGACCTAAATTATTTTCAATATTTTTTTTTTTAAATTGACAAACTATACAATGTTTTCATTATTAGCAGTTAAAATCAGCAGCTATATATGCTTTGAAATTTTCTACTTTCGTTTTCAATAAAACGATCTTCTTGGATTCCAATTTTATTGTTTGATTATCATTTTATTGACTTTAATTTTTGTTTTTAATACAATGACTAATAATTAAGCCCTTAATCTATATGTTTCACTTCGCATACCCCTTCAAACTGAAAAGATTAACCCCTAACTGCTCCAGGCTATCAGCTACCTGTACCTGGACAGCAGCGTGTGCGTTGAAGCGAGAAGTGATTTCCTGTGGCTAATTAACTCTGCATGCTAAATATCTGTGTGCATTGAATAAACAACTCTGATATTCTTATCCCGATTGACAAATTTCGGCGGTAGGGAAACTGAAAATCTGAATTATTTCAAAGCGGGAAATTGGGGCAATTTTTCTTTCCCGATCGGGAAGGCGGGATGAAAGGGTAAAATCGGGAGAATCCCGCCTAAATCGGGAAAGTTGGCATGTATGCTCTCATCCTTTTCTTCTTTAGTTACTATAAGAACTTTTTCAGTATTTATAATGATAGAATGGGGTTTTTATACAACTACCTTAAAAAATTAATATTATTCTTGAATTTACATAAAGGGAAAAAAAGTAAAAATAAAAAATATACCTTCGTTAATCTATTTCTTGTTTTTAGAATTCAATGAAATCATAACTATTTTAACAAAAATAAAGTATGAACATTTATATTTAAATCTACATTTCAGAGTGTTTGTAGCATTCCAAATTGACTTAACTTCAAAACAAACTTCACTTGCAGACAGAGGTGGTAATTCATCTCAATTTGATAGATAAAGATAATGCTTTGGATTTTCTTCAGGAGGAAAGCTAATTAATCCCAAGGGAATCATAGCAGCATTCAGTTTACAATGGGAACATCTTTAGCAGTTATCTCTCTTTGCCAATGCATTCTTATCTAAAGTTAGGGAATCTACCCCACCACCCAGCTCCAAACCAGGGGACATAGAGAAACAAACTTAGCATCAAAATATGTCTTTCTGCCTATTGAACTACCATACCAAATTTGATCTTAATTGGGCAACCATAAAAAAAGTTATAAGGAAAAAACAGAAAATTTGTGGACGGAAGAGTGACAGACGGACAGACAGAGTGATTACTATAGGGCACCCGCAAATCCTTGCGGGGCCCTAACTAGGGGAAATATATGACCTATCTGCTCTGTATACAAGAAAATTATGAAAAGACTCCCTGACTGGTAACCATGGCTATGAAGAGATTGAGATCCTTTTTGACTTATGATAAAACAGTTCTTTCAAAATACAAAAAACAACAGTAGAAGTGAGGACCTGATAAGGGCGTGTTCTGGCATCTGTTGAGGCATCTTCTTCATCCTCTTCAGTTCCTTCATGGCTGCTTTGTGGGCGTGGTCTGGCATGTGAGCAGCCCTTTGATAAAAAACAAGCATATAAATAGATATCAACATTACTTAACACATCTATCAACACAACTTAAAATGTTTCTGTCTTTCTATAATCCTACCGGATTTTCTGCTCCAGGTCCATGGAGTCGTCAGCTTCTGAGTCATCTTCGTCGTCCAGATCAGAGTTAATGCTCCTGAAGGCCCTCCTCATTTTACCTGGCCGAGAATCCACTTCCTTCCTCGTCACAATCTCAAATCTGTCCTTTCTGGCCTTCTGTAACAACCGTAGTCCCTGAAATGTCAACATTACATCATCACTATTCTGTAATTAGAACATTAAACACCTAGATAAATTACTATAAAATATAATACAGTGTTCTGCAAACAAAATACAAGTACTGTAGAATCACTTTAACTCATGGAAGTCAATGTATACATACAATTTAAAACTTTACTGGATTGTAAGGATGCAATTTTGTTGGTAACTTTCTCTTACGGAAGATTCAACAAACTGGCATGTTGAAAAAGTTATCGTTTGTTGAAATGTATATATTCATCAGTTAGGGAGACCAATAAAATCAATGATCAGTGGCCCCCAACAAACAATGATGATTCAAAAGTATATAAACAAACACTTTCTGTGTATAATTGTTTTGATATTGTCTTACTTCAATTTGCCTCATCAGAAGTGGCAGTGCCTTTTTGAATCGTTCTGTTAAATCTACAGCATCCAGCACTTGAATCTTTTCAGAATAAGAAGCCTTCACAATGGCGGCACATATATCTGGCAAGTGTTGGCTTGGCAAATTCTCCAACATTTTCTAAATTTAAAATCGAAAAGATATATTTCCTGAAGTATTACAATACACAAATATTTTTCTTTTTACAGTCATATTCAAGATGAGGTTACATTTTTCTCAGAAGAAGGTAATGGGTTATAAGTTAGAAATATCAATACCTTAAGTTTTGCGACCACAGGAATGGAGATGTCAAGCATATCCACAAGTTTAGCTGCTTGTTCTCTGAAGTTCTCTGCCAGGGCCTCTAATTCAGCACTCTCATTAGCTCCCTTTATTGCCTCACCTAATCAATACAATCTATAACTTCATATATGTAATTCATATGACATAAAATTTTAACATCACATTTAATGTCTATGTTTAATTTTTTTTGATAAGCCTTTTAACATAGATTAACATTAGAATCAGCTCCTTAATACGTTGCTGTATAGATGTACTAGTGTCATCTGGATTAACATAGATTATCAATTGCTATCTAGTGCTGGAGATATACCTACTAGAGATACTACTATGCATCTAGATTAACACAGAGTACCATTAACATGAGACAACTAGTATGTTTATCATCTAAATTAACATAGATTAACATCAACATCAGATTAGCTAACAGGTATGTTATAGAGATACCCATGTCATCTGGAAGTTTATCCAGTTGTGTGACGGTGGCCACTGGGAATGGAGTTTCCTGGAGAAGTTCCTGCATTTTGAATCGACAGAGTCCAGTCACCAGCAGCGTGTAGGCAGGCTTCGGCCAGTTAGTCCCGGTCACCTGGACCACTACTGCTGCCGTCCCGATAGAGTGCAGAGCCGAGAGATCCTCCCCCTGTACAGAGAAAAGAAACAGTAAACACATAGCATATTTGAACAGCACTAACATTAATAGAGGATATTCAATGTTTTGTAGTTGAATATGGAATTTATTTCACGAGTGGAACAGGATTTTTTGATATTTTCATGAGTGTGAAGCACGAGTGAAAACATTAAAAAAAAAATCCTGATTCACGAGTGAAATAAATTCCATATTCAACTACAAAACATTGAATTTTCTGTTTATTATACTTTCTTTGATTTTCCCAGTGCCTCTGTCTTTTTTGTTACAGAGTGTCAAAGGCCATGACGTCATAGTAGTGCGGTTGAGACGTCATAGTTTTAGCGATTGCAAGATAAACATGGATTTCCACAGCCTAATATTGGAGAATATCATTTTGATATCCTTTCACATTGTGACAGGATATTACTTTCATTCAATGAACAAATTAAGGTATTTCACTGTTGAAAATGTAATAACGACAGATATTTCACTTTGAATAATGAAGAATAAAATATCAGTCTTGTGTCATACCTCCTCCTCTAGCTTCTGAGTGGGGACGACTCCAATGATGGTGCTACTTAAGGTATTTCTACTTAGAAGGCGACTCTTCACCATGTTCATACTAAAAATTAGATATGACATTTGTTAAATCAGTTATTCTTTTTAAAAAGTACGTAAGGGTTGCCCGCAACCCTGTGTCTCGCCTGCTGTCGCTGTGGTTAGTAAGAAATGATTGTCTGATAAACTGAAGCATTTATTGACATTTCAGAAGGAATAACTCAAAAATACAATAATAAAGAAATGGAACAGCTGACTTAATATCTAATCCCTTGGCGATTATATTGGCATTTATATATATATACATATACCCTGTAAATTCACAAATTATTGTGATGTTTTTATTATTGCGAATATTGCAACGTGTTATGAGTCGCAATAATTTGAACTTGCATTTTGAAATCAAATCCACTGTATATGTATCAAGTCATTCATGCAGAAAATGTAGGTGAAGATTACCTAATTATGGTACTGATATTGTTGGTTACCCATGATGTGTAGACTGACAAATTATCATGCCACTATAAGTTATAGTTGCTGAGATATGGACCTCCACCATAAATTTATGCAAAGTCACTCATGCGGAAAAATGTAGGTCAAGATGACCTAATTCTGGTACAGGCGTTTGTGGTTACCCATGATGTATCCACTGACAAATTATCATGCCACTATAAGTTATAGTTGCTGAGATATGGACCTCCACCATAAATTTATGCAAAGTCACTCATGCGGAAAAATGTAGGTCAAGATGACCTAATTCTGGTACAGGCGTTTGTGGTTACCCATGATGTATCCACTGACTAACTATCATGCCACTATAAGTTATAGTTGCTGAAATATGAACCTCCATTATCAATTTAACCAAAGTCATTCATGCAGAAAAATGTAGGTCAAAATGACCTAATTCTGGTACTGATGTTGTTGGTTACTTATAACCTGTACAATGACAAATCATCATGCCATTATAAGTTATAGATGCTGAGATATGGACCTCCACCAAAAATTTAACCAAAGTCACTCATGCAGAAAAATGTAGGTCAAGATGACCTAATTCTGGTACTGACGTTTGTGGTTACCCATGATGTATCCACTGACTAATTATCATATCCCTATAACTTATAGTTGCTGGAATATAGGTCTTCACCATAAATTATCATGAAAAAACTAAGTCCAACTTAAGGAAAAAATACGGAAAAATTTGAATTTTTTTTTTCAAAATCATACTTGGGATATAAATTTTTATCCATACTGAATATTGTGTCCAAATTTCAAGAAGACTGAATAAAATTTGAGAAAGTTATTGCAGTTTATAAAACTTTGACATTTGGGTTAACCAAAAGTTGGACGCCGACGACGACGACGACGACGACGGAATCTATGGTCGCTATGTCTCGCTTCGCGACATTCGTCGCAGGCGAGACAAGTTTGATTATATTCTAGTCTTAGCTGCAGAACTGTAGCATTATGGTTTTATATATTAGTCTTTGACCATGACACTAAATTGTAGGGTTATGGTTTTATACATGTATATTAGTCTTTGACCATAACGCTACAGATCCTGTAATGCAAAAAATGAGCAATTTATGTCGCAAGATTTTTTGTGCACTGTTCTGGAGAATTTCTACACTTCCCAACTTTCGTAAATCATCTATACCTTACCCTCCATAATTCTAGACACATTCTTAAATGAATTTGTTTATTTTATCCTCCTCTTAATCCTAGTTGCCTCTACAGGCAATAAACTGGCTCGATTTGAATTGTCTAAGGGATTGCGAGTTTATCGCTTGTACAGACAAGAGTTAGGAGGTGTTTAAAATAAACAGCTTTATTTAAAAGTGAGATCATTTTTTGCATTACGGGATCTGTAGCGTTATCATGGTTATGGTTCAAGACTAATGTATATAAAACCATAATGCTAGGGTTCTGCAGCTATTTTAATCTTTGACCATAGTAGGTCAAAGACTAAAAAATAAAAGCATATAACGCTACAGTTCTGCAGGTACGCACACATACATAAATCAATGCTATGCAGTGGTCCTTGTTTGCATTACTCAATTTACTGCGTCTAAACCTGAACACTTTCTTTTTGTAACTTCAAGCTTACGAAACATTACTTACAATGTGCACGTGTTTAATAATCTATTTTAAAAGTTAAAATAAATTAAAACACACTTTTTCATGCTCTTCACGGGTATTCTCATCGATGATCCCGGTAAAAGAACACTGTCTTTTACCAAAAGTAGTGGCAAGCGCCGAGGAATTGTTATGGACGACGCCATTTTACAAGAATTCTAGAAAGTGACAGGGGTCACGTGGTCAACAAAAATAGAAACCGATCAAATGGTCAATGTTCAAGGCTAAGGGAATCCTCTTTATTTATTTTCTGCAGTCAATGTGTAAAATGAACTTTATCATAGCACATTAATAACAAATAGTTGCATGAATTTGGGCTTGAATTGCCGAGTTGACGTGCTTATGTCTTTCGGATTATATCGAAGTTTTACATAACATGAAGTGTATTCCGAAGTGCCTCGGTGGGGTGCAAGATGTTTCGGGACCCCGACGTTTCGGGACCTAGGTACACGACGATTCGAGACTAGCGATAAGACGGTTCGGGACTTGCGGCAAGACGTTTCGGGACTTGGGTTAAATTTTTCGGGATGTCAATAAATACTGAAATAAATAACATATTTAGCTAAAATTATTTATTTATTTTATTAATGTATCATTAGATAAATATATGGACAGACATTAAACTTTATAAAATAATTTTTTTATAATTTGATCGCCATAGATACCTTTTCTCTTTAATAAAAAGAAATATTTTCGGGATCTCAACAAATTATTTTATTATGGTGATATAGCATATTATTCTAAGTACACAGAGTACGTAATATTTAATTTTCATGTATATATATAAAATAAAAATTTTCATAAAGATATACTTTGATGGGTTTTTTTTCATAACAGACGAATAAGAATAAATCTTTACAATATTTGTATTGATTTCTTTTAATTTCTTATCAATTTTTTTTTAATTAGTTATTTTTTCTTGTGTGTGTAGTAGGGGGGGGGGGTCCAAAATTAAATCTTCTCAGGTTGATGATATATATTTTAAAATATTCAAGTGATCTCCAGCTACCGTCGAAGATATCTTTAAAAATATGTCAGTGAATTGTTAAAACAACAACTAGGACCAGGTACACATATCCCATAGGGAAGTGTTACGTACATGTATAAAGACGCCGCCGGTAATGGAGTCTGAAAAGATTGTGTGGTTTCTATTGAAATTATTTTAAGAAAATAAAAATCTAAAAATATGCAAAAAAATATCGTTTGTTTAATTGGTAAATGAAATAATTACAAATCAAACAATATTTATATAATAGTAATAATTTTCCCATCATCAAAAGTTCAATAAAATATAAAGGTTTTCAAAATGTTTTGATTGATTTTCTCTATTTTTTTCCCAAACAGTTTCAAATATTTTTTTTTTCAGAAAGTTTTAGCATAGTAGCTATTGTAAGATTCCTCCCTGGAAATGTTACGAAAACATTTTTAAAGTTTCCAAAACATTGTAAATAAACATATTTTACAAATGTTGCGAGAATATTTTCCCTACATGTAGATTTTTAAAAAATACCATACTTTTAAAAAAAGAATATTAAATGGTATAAACAACATGATTTCATTTGATATCGTTTGAAATAATGTCTTTAAAAATATTCTAAATTTCATCATAGCTTTATCTATTTAATGTGGCTAGGTGGAAATTTAATAAAAAATAAAATTTAAGTTGACCTGTTAACGTAGTCATTTTTTTAAAAAAAATCTGGAATGTCTTTTAAACACTTTTACAACGTACACGTAAAATGAAAAATTTAATATTTGCAAATTAAATAATATTTAGTATTTATTTACAGTATCATTTAAACAGTGTGTCATGTACCTAATTATGTAACATCACATAATATTACGCACTGGTCGGGTATATACGAAGATCGATAATTAAGTTTCATTGAGATTTGTAGTCTGTGTATACACAGTAAACATAACAACTACCCGTAAAACGTAAAGTTTTTACTGCACATGTGCTAGCTTGAGCCTTTGTTAATTCTGTAAACAAACATGAAATCAAACACTTAAAATTGTTATTAAAATGGAGAGAAAGAAAGTCTTGGAAGTAAAAACACGTCCGTGGTCTTCGCACAGCAGTTACGACTGTCTCCCGGTTTTAATTCTGCAAACTCTCGTATCAAACACTATAAATAAATCGATACATAGCCTAATTCTAAAATATATTTTTTGAATTAAATTTGGCGAACCAAATACTTTATTAAAGTAATATATCATGTATATCAAATGCTGTAATAAGAAATGTAGAGACAACATTGCGGGCGGTTGATTTTCTCGGCAGGCGTGCTCCATGCCGCATGCAAACTAATATTCCAATCTGTGCTTCTTAATTAAATGATAAATTGTGTATAAAACTGAGAAATTATTCATATATAAACATAGAAAACAAAAGTAAACAAGTTTTATTTCATTTCCTTAACAAAATATATAGAAGTCCCGAAACGTGTTAGCCCAAGTCCCGAAACGTGTTAACCCAAGTCCCGAAACATGTCGTCAGGTCCCGAAACGTCAGGGTCCCGAAACGTCGCGGTCCCGAAACATCCAGAATTCCCTCGGTGTTATGTAAACATACCGTGTGACTGCGACCTGTCAAGTTTTAGAAGAATGGCTGTAAGGCTTCCACAGGAGGTAGTACTAATTCTATATTGACAATTTTGTATGAATATTTTTCCTAGTTAAAAAATGTAATAGTTTTTGCATGAACTAAGTGAGGTAAATAATCAGTTAATCTTTGAATTAAGCAATGCGAAGCCACTGAAGGTATACATTGACCAGCTAGCTGGCTAGGTGACAAACGAAGGTACATGTACGTTAAACCGCACTTGGATCTCATACTGATGTATATTCCCTTGTACTGCAAAAATTAAAAAAAAAAAAAAGAATACAACCACTTAAATTCTTATATACTCTGTGAACCATATGTATGTACCCAACGTTTAATTACCTCCGTTTTCGTTAGGTAAAACTTGAAAATAACTGACATTTTTTAAATTATCAATATTTATCTCTCCGGTCGATCTCTCGAGATGAGTGAATGTTATCAGTCAGACGGTGAGTTGGGGGAGGGGGGGGGTCAGACTAGCTTAGAAAATAATTCTATTTCAAAACGAAAACCCTACTAAAACCATTATTTATTGATTTCATACATAATTTATTTTTGACAGGTCATAACGCATATAATGCGTTTCCTGAACGTCTCAGATAGGAAGGAAGCAGCCATGGTAAACAAGACGTGGTACGAGGCCTCGCTGGACCCCATACTGCAGCGGGATGTTGTCCTTCACTTCAACGGAGAGACAAATTATGTCCCACTTTCTACCTTCAGTTACAGGCGCTTATCTCACCTGGCTTTAAGTCAACTAGACAATTCCATGAACACCAAGCATGCATTACTTAAATCATGTCAGCAATTCAATGAGAGTTTGAAATCCCTGTCCTTCAAATCTTGTAACATTACGGAGAGCACGTTTGTAGAGATTCTCTCCTACTGTACAAATCTGACAAGTATCGATCTCAGTAGCTGCAACAGTATCTTTTTGTCAGGAAAACTTCTGGAGAAAAACGCAGATCTGCAGCTCCTCAGGGAATCACTGAAAAACGTGAAAGATTTAAACATTTCGTCTATACGTCAGCTATCTGACGTTACGTTTAACAGAATCGTTACGATTTGTCCAAACGTCGAAAAAATTACGTTGGTAGGGTCCCACATTGTTTTCAGCAGTGAACATTACATTCCAAGAGCAAAATCAAGAGTTGCCAGCAGTGCTGTGCTCACTTTTAACAATATATTAGACTTTGTGCGTGTACAGGCCTCCTTGTTAACCTCGATAGACTTAAGTCGAAACCAAATTAATGACGACGCCTTAGAGAGCCTTGTGACAATTCCTGATCTACACTTACAAGAACTGCATTTATTGGCCTGTAAAGAGATAGAAGATCAGGGAATTATTGCTTTGAGTCACAATCAAAAGTCGCTGAAGATCTTGGACCTTAAAGATTGCATAGGTATAACTGACGCCGGCATTAGTGCAGTGGCAACAAATCTGGTACATTTGGAGAACCTTGCCCTGAACCGATGCAGAAATGTGACGTCAATTTCAATCAAGAAGTTCCGTAACCTTTCTCACTTGCAGACCCTTGAAATGTCAGATTTGTATCAAGTGACGTCATCTGGCGTAGAGGAGGGGCTCTGTGGCAATGCCGGGATGCCGCTGACGCGTGTCAACCTGAGTTGTTGTTCCTTAATCCAAGATGGATTCGTGGAAAAACTGAGCTGCACGCATCCGTATCTTGTTCACCTGGACCTCGGTTCGTGTAATAATCTTACGAACCAAAGCATTTTCGAAATCTCCAAGAACCTCAAACAGATTCAGTTTCTAAGATTAGCATGGTGTAAAAAGATTACGGATCTCGGCATCCTGGGATTTGAGCAAGACATCGGAGAAAAGAAACCGACAGAAACGGGCTGTAACAAAAACTACGAAAGCACAACTATATTCCGGAAGCCAATATCGAAAGAAGAGAAAATGAAAGTCCAGAAATTAAAAGAAGAAATAATCGAACAAGAGCTGCTCCGTTACAAATTAAGTAATCTCTCAAAGTTGCGGGATCTCGATTTATCGATGTGTCTCGGGCTGACGGACATTGGTCTAGTCCAGGTTCTGAAGTTCCAAGAACTTCGTTATTTGAATCTGAATATGATTCCAATAACAAATGTCACAGTTTTTGCGCTTACAGCATCGAACCCAAGTCTCGAACATCTGGTTCTTGCGAAGTGCGCCGCCATTACAGATGATGCAATAGAGGCGGTGGCCAAACGTCTTCCGCGCTTGAACAATCTGAACCTGTCTAGCTGTGACAGTCTAACGGATAAAAGTATTCGCTTTATTCAGATTCACTGCAAAAGACTTCGAAGTCTTGACGTCTCATTCTGTAGAAATATATCCCCTGAAGCGATAGACGACTTGGAGAGATATCATTCTGTAGTGTCCGTCAATCGAAGACTAGTTGGGGGCAAAACGTAAATTGTGTCATCGCTATATCAATACTCTGATGATTTTAAGAATTGCAGTGCCAGTATTATATATCAAATTATTTGGCTAATGAAATTAATTTCCTTGATTCATGCCTTTTATAACAATTTTCTTTGATTTTTAACACCATTTACTAATGATCAAAATCATTTTCAATATCGAAATTATGAATCGGTATCCGTGCTCCCAGTTCGTGATCGGAATTGCAAATATCTGTTTGATGGTAATATACAAGAAGCCAGTGAGACAGTGCTTTGTCTTTCAATGTCTTTTTTGTAGTATACAAAAAAAGTTCAGAAAATGAACACGGGTTTTCGTCAATAGGCTATATTGCTCCACAAAATTGTATTCTTGTTAATCTTCACTGTTACAGAGACATAAATAACTTGTTATGTATGTCCTTTATTGTTACAGTACCACAACAAAACATTGTGTTCATCTATTATATTATCTACTTTAATTGTTACGAATACTGTGATATAATATTGACATTTTATTTGCTGTTTCTTCATTGTGTTGCTATTTATTATTAATAATTAAAAAAATCACCGTTATTTGCTTCAGTGTATTGTACAGTATGTTTCAATTCAAATCAACCTGCCATGGTATCTATTGAAAATAATGATAATAAAAAAAGACGTGTTTATGAAGCACTGATATGTCCCCGTATGGCAGCCTTTAGGGAGGGTTGAAGTTTCTCAAATGCAAGTCAACTCCAAGTTCAATGTCAAAAGGTCAAAACTGTTGAAATATTAAGGAAGGTCTTGTCACAAGGAATACACCTGTGAAATATGAAAGTACTTATACTAACTGTTTTTAAAAGTTATGACCAAGTTTAAAGGGTTTTTTAAAAAGTGAGTCACACTCTAGGGTCAAGGTCAAAATGTAAAAAAAAAAAAAATTAAACCCATTGAAATGTTTTGTCACAGTGAATATACATGTAGTTATGAGAGCCCTTCGCTAAAATCATGGCCATGGTTAAAATTTTGAAATTTTTGGTAAAAGTGTCAAACTCTAAGGTCAAGAGGTCAAATAGTGGTACCCTAAGAAAGGTATCATAACAAATATACCTGTGAAATATGATAGCTTCAGTCCCATCCACTCAAAAGTTATGGACAAGGTTAAATTTTTTTGCCGTCTAACAGACAGACAGACGGACGGACAAGGAAAAAACTATATACCCTCCAATCTTCGATTACGGGGGCATAAAACTCTTTTTCTACCACAATGATTGTTGAAATATTAAGATATTAAATTGGCATTTTTGTATGATAAATTACGAATGAAATTTTCGTTTGTGTGGAAGCATTCTTTAGTAAAGATGCTTTTTTTCAAATCATGACACACATGGGCGTGGTAGAGCAGAGCTACAATTGCCTCACAGTCGATACATGTAAAAAAAAAAACCAATTAATGTTCTTATATATTATAAAAGTAGGTCGTCACGCAACTCAGGAATACATGCATGCTATAACCTATAAGTACTGATCATGAGGCTAAATAAGATGTGTTTATGAAACAATGTTGCCCTTGTATGAATGGCAGTTTATGACGAAGGTTCAAGTTTCTCAAATTAGTCAAACTCCATCCTGGAGTCAAATTCAATAGTTTAGAATTGTATGTATCCAAAGAAAGGCCTTGTCACAAAAATGCATCTTTGAATAGCGGGACCGCAAACATCAACAGTTATAGCCAAAGTTATTTTTTCAAAAGAAGGTTAAATTCCAAGGTCAAGGTCAGAGATCCCCGATTAATGGTGCCTAATGGAAGGTCTTAATTGGATTTCTCCAGAAATACACCTTTGAAAATATAAAATCCCTAGAACCAACTGATAGATACAGATAAGGCTAGTTTTTTATGCGCCCGAATTGATAGATCCGGGGCGTATATTATTTTTAATCTTTTTGGCTGTTTGTCTGTCTGTTGTCAACTTTAACCTTCGCCATAACTTTTGAACCATAGGAGATAGAGACTTCATATTTTGTATGCATACTCCACTAATTAAGTTCTTTCACATGATACCAATGACCTTGTGATCTTGACTGTGACCATGCTAAGAATAGGTTTTTCGAACTGCGTTGCCGCCCGGCGCATAGTGTTTCACAAACACATCTTATTTACGAGATACGTAAATAGATTAACCTCCTGGGTCAAGGACAAGGGTAAACACAGGCACCTGAATTTTTATTAATAAGTCGCTAAATAAGCCAAATATCGAAAAATTCTACCCCCTCTATATATAAATACACACCTTGTGTATTTATATATAGAGGGGGTAGAATTTTTCGATATTTGGCTTATTTAGCGACTTATTGATAAAAATTCAGGTGCCTGTGGGGTAAACAAGATGTGTTAACGGACAAATTTTGATCAGAAAAGCTCACTTGCGCCTTCGGCTCAGAAGAGCTAAAAAGGATTAACAACTATAAAATGTGGATATACATATACATCGATAAAGAAAAAAAAGATGTGTTTGTGAAACACTGATGCCTCCGTATGGCAGCTTATAAATGGAGAGAATAGAATTTTTTCAAATGCATCTTTAACTCCAAAGGACAAGGTCAAAAGGTAACCCAAAAGAAGGTCTTGTCACAAAGAATAAAGCTGTGAAATGTTAAAGCCATAGTTCTAACTGTTCAGAAGTTATGGCCAAGGTTAAAGTTTTAAAAGTGAGTCAAACTCTAAGGTCATGGTCAAAAGGTCAAAAATATTTATACATGTACTCACTGAAAGATCTTGTCACAATAAATACACACGTGAAGTATGAAAGCTCTAGCACCAACGGTTCAAAAGTTATGAGCAAGGTTAAAATGTGATAATTTTTTGTAAAAGTGGGTCAAACTCCAAGGTCAAGGTTATGAGGTCAAATTTGGTGGTACCCAAAGAAAGGTCTTGTCACAAGAAATACACCATTGAAATATGAAAGCCATTGCTCCACCCACAGGCCTTAGGATCGCTTAAAAAAATTGTGTGTGTAAAAAAAAAAAGAAAGGTACTGAACTCTTACACTGGGTACCTAATTTCGCTAATAAAATATTTTTTATTCGAATGCTCTAAAATTCTACTTTCTATTTAAATCTATTCATAGATAAACATTCTTCAATTCTACCAAAGCTCATTCCGAAATTCCATATATTTCTTGAGATAATCTGAAATCAATTTCAAAAATGACCTACTTTCTTTTACTCGACATTAGCTTGGGCCCCTGGCCATTCACCTGTAAACAGACGGTGTTTGAAGTGCGGCGAAGAGTTGCATAGTATATTCAAAATCTTTCAACAATTTAAAGTTGATTTCTTACTCCAGATTGTAACGTTAAGTCCGTAATAATATTCCTTTCGCGAAAAATTAATTTGAAAACGTCTACATCAACAACTACCGCCATGTTGATTATGAATGTAAATGAAGCCATGGTAGAACGAATTTTTCCCGGAATGCATTATATACCTTTCGATTTTCAAAACAATTAGACCGCTGAAATGTTGTTTATGACTTAGTTGCACCATATGATCAAATTAAAGAAAAATTAACCTTGTAAAGCTTGAATGCAAATGAGCAAATATTCATTGAGTTTAGACATGTTAGAATAAATTCCGGGGAAAATTTGTCCCGTCGTTCCCGCTTTACAATTAGTGAAGGCCCAAGCTGATGTCGAGTAAAAAAATTATTGTCAATCTGGGAATTGATTTCAGAATATCTCGAGAAGTATAAGGAATTACGGAATGAACTTTGGAAGTAATTAAGATTGTTTATATTTGAATAGATATGGATGGAAAGTAAAATTGTAAAGTATTTGCTTTAAAAGAATTTTATGGGCGAAAGTAGGTACCCCATGAAAAGAGTTCCATACCTTTATTTTTTTTTTTCAACACCTCAATTTTTTTTCTAAGCGATCTAAAGGCCTGTGGCTCCACCCATTCCAAAGTTATGAGCAATGTTAAAGTTTTTGCGGACAAATAGTCAGACAATCAGACGGACGGACAGGCCAAAAACTATGTACCACGGATTCCTCGATAGCGGGGACATAGTAAAATTCAAAATCATGATTTCAACTTTAAATCAGTTTTTATTTCATAACGTGCGAGTACCCATTATATTGCCGAGTACCCATTATTGCCGATTTTCGTTTTTACGTTTAAAAATCGGTCAAACGGTAGTTATTTGTAATTTTTTCGCAAGATACATAAATTACACAATTTTTTCAAACCCCTAATCGTCTCGGAGAAAGAAAAAGTTGTTTAGAATTAATAAACCGGTGATATATCAAGTCCTTGAAAACGCACAAAATAGCAGTCGTGCGACAGGACATGCCATAGAATTTTTGGCTAGATTTCCATTTTCCTGACAGAATCAGTCATGTTTTGGTGCAAATCAAATGAATATTCTCCTGCATGCAATAATACTAAACGAAATTATCCATGATAAAATTTCTACTTGCAGTATTTCACCAAAATTACTATGAGTACGAAGCGTCTGCTGTATGACGCCATTTTTGTTTTATACGGGAGCGGATCGAAATCCACCACACGCACCTGTTCTTAATAAATCTGCAATAGGTCATTTTAATCGATTTATTTTTGCTCATATCGCTTCAAAATCATATGGACAACTTTTTAAATTAACATAACAAGGTGGAAGTGTCTTATTTATTTTTTTTATATAATAAAAAAATATTTATAAATGGGAAAATAAAAGGGAAAATGAGGAAAAAAATTCACAAGTTCTGGATGACATGAGAGTACAAAGACATATGCTGGATTCATCCTTGGAGAAACAATATACTCAATAACTTGCTCTATTTTTTTTTCAAGAGATAAAAAAAGGAAATATGAAAAATGAAGTTTAATGAGGATGGGGGTGCAAGCTACTTTTCAAAAACCCCTTTTACAACTCCAAGTCATTTTATAGCTATAAAAATTGGAAACTGAAACCCATGCAGGGGCTGAAGGGTCTAAAGTCATACCTTATAACTGAAAAAAATTCTTTTGAATAAATACCAGTGTTACCCTTAGCTATTGACATACTGCAGTATTTATTGAACTCTTATCTCGACTTATGTAGTTTTATAATCTACAAATATACAGTGACAAATTTACATGTTTATAATTTAACAAAAACAATTTAGAAAATTTGAATGCTTTGAAGCTGTTTTATTTGTTTATCTTGCAACTTGTGAAAAAGAAGCAATGTATAGGTAATACCCACCCCAATCGTTTAGAGAGTACCTTAAAATTAAAGTTAAGCAAAGGCCAAAATAAAAAATAGTCTTGTTTCCTGCTACCCGACCTACCCTATTTTTTTGCACCCGACCCTAAAGTTTTTTTTAGCTTTTGAGGAAAAAATTCTAAATTTTAGAAATTCCATGTTTCAAAAGTGAAAGAATTTATATATTCTCAAGTTGCATTTCATGAAATATATGTTTAAAATATGGACTTTCGTAAAATTCCGTTAATTAATCAATCTATTTATTTATTTATCTACTTATTAATTAATTAGTTAATTTATTTATTTATTTATTCATTCATTCATCCATTCATTCGAACTGCAATCTCCTATACAGAGTTGTCGCTCGATTGTTACAGTGGACTCAATCTCGACGCAGTGACTGTCTTTTTTAATCGGGTTCGATATTCCAAAACGCGGACAAAACAAATTCGGTTGACTTGCTGGCTTTGCACATGTTGATTACTTGATATTCTTTGAAAAACATGAAGCTCGTAAGTACATGCATACATCACACACGGATTAATGAAGAAAAAGAGTTAAGAAATTTCTCTAAATGAAAAATGGATTTAACAGGAAATGGCAATATGCAAATCATAACATATATACTGGTGTCTCATAATAGATAGTTTTCGATTGACCAAGAGTTACTTCCCGTTGGCCGCCATACTGGAGGTCCAAATGCTCATATTCCTTCATTGTTCAACCAATTCAACCAATTTAAAATTTTTATATTTGCTATTTTGAATGAGAAATCATTATTTTTCTGAAGTATGTAAATTTTTGGAAGCCTCCTTTATTTAAAAAAAATTATTTGATAAAGATTTTCCTCCAAATATTTCTGCTATATTTTCTTAAACTTGGTAAGACAAAGAGGGAAAATCACTGAGCCGACCTCCAATATGGCGGCCAACGGGAGGTAACTTTCGCTAAATTCAGGCCTATCGAAAACTATCTATATCGCGGTACTTTATCCTTTTGCATAAAAAGTGTTATTCCAATTTTTTACTTTTAACTTTCATCAAATACTATCCATTAACCAATCTATGGCCTAACTTTTTAGTGTCAAATTATTTCACAAGTTTGCATTGGTTAATTTGTTGTCTAATTTTAAAACGGGGAGTCTTATTTACCTCCTGAATTGTAGAGTCTCATAGTATCGCGGTATACAGTCTAGACGAACTCCAAAAACGGCGTGAACTCCAAAAAAGAAGTTTTTGGCTCCGTCATGCATTGCGGCAAAATGGCTTCCGATGTAAACAAACGATGGATTGTCGTTCGCTTTCTCCACAAATACGACTGAATAATGGCTGTATTTAGTAAACTGTGACTGGATTTCAATTTTTGTTGAATAAATAATTGTACCCATTAAATTATTTAGTGGTTATTGACTTATTTATCACTCTGTACTCTTGCAAAATAGTGATTTGGGATATACGTACGACACCGGGATTCAATAAAGTCGGTAAGAATAAATTTTCTAACTTGTCCCCTTGATTTAAATTTTATGCCATAATTCCTATTGTAAAGATGCTTAAATTTTACTTCTAAGACACTTGTATATATCGTTTTTTTTAATGAAAAACCGCACAATTTTGGCGGCGGAGCAGAGATATTAACAGGTTCGATTTGAGAAGACTTTTTTACCGTAATTTTAAAAGAATGATTTTTTTTAAGTTCTTAAACTCATAGATTATAATTCTAAAAATGTTTTCATGATTATATCTATTCATATGTGAAAACATTAGGTATATATATAGCGATGGTGATAACTAACGCTCTCAATATTCAGATGTCAATGACATACAGAATTCTATGACGAAATAATATTACAAATAGGTAAAAATTCGGTCAATGTTTAACAGTTACAACATGTATATTACATGTTCAATTTTACATATTTTCCCCTTTTATTATATATTTAATTCCCAAACGTTTATTTTTCTTTGTATTTGATCTAACTTGAAACGTGAACTTTCTTCAAAAAAGCCTCGGAGGAAATGTGGAAACTGATTGGATTCTCATGTAACTGTCACCTGATCGACTCTTATTTATGATTAAAACCATCAATTCAGTACTTTTTTAATTATTGGTAAGATGTATTTACAATGCAGTTGCTCATTGCTGATCTAAACATCCTGAAATTCATTCGTACACGATAGACATGAAAGACAGAGGAAATTCGAACTGAAAATTCGCTAGCGTTCCTTACTTACAAAAAAAACTTCTAAAATCAGTAAAAGTAGTTCTAAAATGACTAACTTAGTCACTACAAACAAATTATCAACCACAGAGTTGTTTTCATAAGATTACGACTGTTTAATTTGTATTTTGTATCCTACTTGTACGATGTCTGGCTGAACCTCGAAGTTGGTCAACTTTGACTTGAAATTAAAAACTATTTGCACATGAAATCAAAATTCTAACAAATACGTTCTCTAAAACCATTTATTATTAATCATTTCTGAGTACTTACATTATTGTAAGGTAATCCAATTTTTTGCAAAAACACTTTTTATAAGAGTCCACTTTTCACGATTTTTCACCGTTTTTTATATAACTGCGCATGCGTTGGACTCGTTTTTTGGAGTCTTTTCTGGACTGAAATTCTCACTTCCGTTAACGCCGTTTATGGAGTTCGTCTAGACTGGTATAGGAAAACATGGAAACTTGTGGCTGACATGGACTTCAATTTTTATTTTTATATTTACGGTTTAATTCTACATAAAAAATAAACATTTATACAAACTAAAGACTTTCGAAACATGAACTTTATTACGGCTTTTACTAGGTTATAAAATCAATGATCTAAATATGATAAAAAACGGGAATGGAAATCTGTAAAATTACGTTTTATTTGAATAAAAAATTTACCGACGCATGTTCCATACTTTTTAATCATCAAAAAAGTTTACATTCGGATGACAAACAGATAGTATTTTAACAGAAAGGATATGAGCTATGTATCTGAATTTTTGGAATATACCGCGATACAATGGAACCCGCGATATAATGAGAAGCGAGTATACAGTCATTTTACCAGCACCAGTAACGAATTGGTTTCTAGTCAGGTCCAGCACAACACCCCGATAAAGGTATATAGCTTGATAAAGCTATATAGCTTTATCAAGGTATTTAAAATACCTTGATCAAGGTAATTTATGTAATGAAAATTCAAAAAAAATTCTTTGAAAATTAAATACTGAAAGTTGAGTTCTGAGTTTTTGTCAATGTGTCTACTCGTGCATGAAAAACACTCTGGTATCAAAAAGAAAGCATAAAATAACGTCTCCTCACACGACACGTTTTTGTACTGATTTGTTTGTGTTTGAGTACTTTACATGCATGGGTGAATTTACTGACAACAACTCAGAACTCGACTTTCAGTAATTAATTTTTAAATAATTTTTTTGAATTTTCATTACATAAAATATCTTGATCAAGGTATTTTAAATACCTTGATAAAGTTATATATAGCTTTATCAAGCTATATACCTTTATCGGGGTTTTGTGCTGGACCTGCTAGTTAACAGTTATAAGCATTACATGTTGATTCAAATGATTATTTTTCTAAAACTAAACAGTATGAAAAATACTGTATTTTATGAGAAAATTTTAGTGACATGCGTTAGTAAAATTAAATCAACCATCTCTGAGACATAATTTTCATGGAATATCTTTGCTTATAAATCGTTTTGATAGTATTTTCACTTCTGTCAGCTTATTTTGTTTTGCATCCCGTAAAACGGCATTTTTCGTTCTTCAAAAATTCGTGATTCGTAACTAAGAAAACAACACGTGGTTAATTAGATGTTTAATTTCATTCAAAAGTCAATTTTTGTTTAATTTAGTATTCTATCTTTTTGTTTTTATCCCAAATTATTGATTACATACTCAATCTGGGTCGAACATATCGAAAATTTTTATTTAGACGCATTTGTTGACACACTTTCGTTTTCTAAGACTTGCACTTTTGCGTGTTAAAATCCAGTTCATCATTTCAAATTGTAAATACTATGGGAAATAATCATGCAGATATTACAAAAACATAACACAGAGGTAGAATATTAATCCTTTTACTGTATTTACCTTGTAAGATTTTTAAAACATGTCACTATGTTTTTCTAGAATATTTGAATAAAAAAAATATTTGATACTGGCAAATATCCGTTACTGGTAAAATGACTGTAGTCATTCATTTGATTTGAGCAGGTCCAGTACAATCACTAGATTTAGCTACATAGGTAGAATTACCTAAGTAGCTTTATTTACCTACCTCAGGTAGCTTTATTTACCTATTTCAATGCAACTTTTCACAATTTTTCTCTTTATTAAAAAGAGAGAGAAAATCGCAATTAAATGACTATTAATATTTATACTACGGAGGTTTCATAAAACAATTCAAAGCAGAGATAGTTTATACATTGCTACGTTTGGACAATTTGGAGCAAAAACATGTAATTCCAATGTTTGGGTAACTGTCCTCGCTATTGGGTGTGGTGAGGCATGGCTGAGTATAATTACTTCACATTGTGCTGAATAATTACTGACCTATTATCATGTTAACCAGAACTGCACTTCTTTGTCATTTCATTCAAGGAGTAACTGTTCTAACTGTCATACATAGCCCCAAAACTTTCAGAACTTTGATTGCAATTGTGCAGAAAAAGACATTTCTTCAAGAGTAATTTTTTCATGAATTGTTTTCAGATGAGTTCAAAGTTCAAAATGAGAATTTCTGCACATCCTGAGAAAAATGCTTTTTTTTATAGAAATAAATTGATTTGGTAGCTAAATAAAGCTACCGCAGGTAGATAAATAAAGCTATGTAGGTTAATCACACTAAGTAGCTAAATCTAGTGATTGTACCAGACCTGTTGAGCAGGGACCTAACTAGTATATAGGTCCCTGATTTGAGGCATCTTACGAGGGTGGGGTCAATATTTAATAGATGCTTGTTCACTTTCATTGCATAACTCAGTTTCAAAATAAATATCTAAAAATAGTAATCAGTGTATGTTAATTTGAAGTTTGAAATTTTGCAGGATAAAAGCCAAGGGGCCAGAAAACTTCTTCATACGACTGTATTTAGTCAGTGCTTTTCTCCTTGTGGTCAGTACTTAGCAGCCTGTGACAATTATGGAAAAATTTCCATATTCAGGTAACAAAAGAAAAAATAATAAGATTTTACAAAGAAGGTTACCTCATTTCCTGTTAAAGTATGAAAATAGATCTTTTACTATTGATCTATTATTGAGACTATTAATTCAGTTACACATGTATTACATGTAGAAATGGGATTGAACAAGCATTTCGATAGTAAATTTATTCACTAATCACACTCTTTCAGTTTATCGAAAGCTCTGGCTCCAGATGCTTCAGAGGAGAATTGGCAGCAGATTTTTTCCTTCCAAGGTGAGTGATTAAGCATCATTCTGATTTCTGATACAAATTAAACAAGAAAATTAATTGCCATCAATTTATGTGAAAAAAAGTGAAGTATTTACTATTAAAACAATGGACATCAAATAACTGCAGATCTGTAGCTCACTGGTCTGAAAAAAATAAGGATGGACGACCAGAGAGCTACATTGCCAACCACAGCAAAAACTGTAAATTTATTGTACACAGAAAGTTGCACTCACTTCTGGATTTTCTCTTAATTCTTACCTCAACTGCACAAAAGCTCAGTTTCAAAAAAAGTCCTAAGACGTCTCTCAGCTATTCTTGTAATTGACATCTGCAGAAAGCATGTCGGACCAAATTATCTTGCGACTCAAAATATTACAGTATAAATACAGTGTTGGTGACATTTTCTATTGTCTTAATTTCAGGCCCAGGAGGGCTGTCAACAATGGTAATAGGAAATGTTTTGTTGTGTGTTAGTAGTTAAGGAATATGTTAACAACACATTATTGGTTATATTTTGAGATGGCAGTTTGAAGAATACAAAGATATAAATACAGACACAGAGCACTTTTTTGTGCACTATATACACTTTTTCTATGAGTGGCACTGTAGCTCTATGGTCTGTCAATGTTTTTTTTACTTTTGCAGAGCAATATTTTTGTAGCTAAATCATCAAACCACTTCAATTTCTGAAAATTAATTTAAATTGAAATTATTTTTGGCCAGAAAAAAGTAATCAATTATTTCTCAGGCACCGCCGCATCAGTTCCAAAACGGCCGCATTGATCAATTTTATTGACATATTGAAAAGGGAAATAACTCAATTTTCTATTTTTCTTAGTTGAAAAAGAAAATTGAATTATTCCCCTTTTTCATAAATGCTAAGATAGACGTTTTTATTAGAAAAACAATATATTTCTTATAAATTTACAATATTTTATGAATTAATATTTAAATAAATGTTTGGAATAGAATTATGTAAAGTTCATACATGCCAACTTTCCCGATTTAGGCGGGATCCTCCCGATTTTACCCTTTCATCCCGCTTTCCCGATCGGGAGAGAAAAATTGCCCTAATTTCCCGATTTGAAAAAAAAAATCACCAAGATTTCTGATTTTAAAAGTTTCCCTTCTACTGAATTTTGACAATCGGGATAACAATGTCAGACTTGTTTATTCAATGCATAAGTTTCATTGTTAATTTTACCAGGTGTTAGTTAGCCACAGGAAATCACTTCACGCTTGAACGCACGCAGATGTCCAGGTACCAGTACCTTATAGCTTGGGGCAATTAGGGGATTATCTTGTCAGTTTTAAGGGGTATGCAAGGTGAAACACATAGAGTAATGTGATAATTGTTAGTCATTTTATTAAAACATAAATTAAAGACAATAAAATACTAATCAAACCATGAAACCGAAATCCAAAGAGATCGTTTTTTGAAAACGAAAGTAGAAAACTACAAAGCATAGCTGCTGATTTTATCTACCTATAATGAAAAATATTGTAAAGTTTGCCAGTTAAAATATTATGGAAAAAATTAGGATGAAACAATCAAGAGTACGTATGTCAATTAGAATTTCTTTTCCCTCCCTTCTCCCAAAAGTAATATTGTAATTGTATGTTAGGTATGTGCATGTGGGAAATACCCACATGGCACCATCAAGCCTGACAAATTTCATGACTATAACAAATATAATTCTCTTTTGGATAGGTAGTATAAATTTCTGTAAATTTAATATCTTATTAGAATTTCTAATTAATTGAAATATAAATAAAAAATCTAAAAAATGTTTCCAGAAACAGGACTTTACAGTATCAAAACCTCATATATTTTTTAGCCTTTGAAAAAAAAATGATTTTAAAAAGTTGTACAATTTTCAATTTTTCACTAAATAAAATGTGTCCTGGTAGAAAAAAAATGTTGTTTAGATATGTAACTAAATACCCCTTCTTTAGTGAGAGAGGCACCTGTTTTAGAAAAAAATATTTCAATTTTGGAAAGAATTTAAAACATTATTTTTTATGTTAGATTAATCCTTAAAAGTTGTATTGATAAGTGATATCAATATTATAAATTAAAAAAAATATCATTTCATAATCATTTAATTTCACGACAAAATGTCGCGAATTTTAAACTTTGAAAATTGTCGTCACGCGCTAAATCCCCCATGGGAATTTTCAAAAGTTGGCATGTATGAAAGTTGAATACATATTATATTAACTAACTTCAGAGAACAAAAATTAAGAATTAGTAGTTATTATCATTTTATTGAACAAATGGCTTAAAAAGGTGTAAAATCTGCTTAAAAAAAAAAGCCTGCCTGCCGCATTGAATTTTTAATTTTTTGGCCTGAGAAACTAGTAATTAATTTTTTTTTGGCCTTACTTATGGATTTTAAACGAAAAATGTTGTGTTGATCGATATTCCACAATGTCTGTCTTTGGATGATCCATCTGATTATTTCTTTCAGCAAGTGAAGATGGGGCCCTCTACTGCCTGGCAGCAACTTCAGACCTTCTGATCAGGTATGTGTATGGTATAGAGGGGTTGTATTTCTAATATTACATGTGATATTGACCTGAAATAAAATGTAGTTTATATTACATTTCATTGTAAACAGTACAACATTTTAGTCATTTCATCATTATTAAAATGAAGTTTCAATTTTGAAATATCCTTACATGTTATACGTAAATGCCTTCTTAAACCATTTATTTTTTAATTAGTGCAGGAAATGGTCCAATCTGTGCTTGGAAATGGAAGGAAATTTTAGACAAAAATCCACACATTGTGTGGTCTTTCACTATCCCGAAAAAGTATGATTATACACACGGACATAAACAATTGTAATGGTTGAGATATGAATGGGATAAAATTAAATAAGGGATATTGTCAGTTTCCATGTAAGAGTGATTTTTTTTCTTTGTTGTTAATTATGTATTAGTATAATTTATAGTTTATTATTTTTTCAGGGGCCCGTTCTCCAACCCAGAAGTAAACTCATTAATTGTCGATAAACAGGTAAGTGTCAAAAGTAAAGGAAATACTTTGGAATCTCTTGTGTCTGTGGGAGATCAATGTTGAGGGATTCCCAGGGTCTTCCTGAAATACCAACAAATTTATATCGCAACAAACCATAACATTTTTGTTGTCTTTAAAAACATTGACCCCACAAATAAAAAAGATTCCACACCAGAACTGATATCTGTCTCTGTGATAAAATTTTATTTGTACTGATTGATTTGTTACAGGAATTGGGCACTACATTGTTTGCTGGATGTGGGGATAAAAATGTGTATGGCTGGGATCTGGAGTCGGGAACACAAGTGGTGAGTGGAATTGTACAGATCAAACCGATACTTCATGAAATAGTACACATACATTTAAATGAATGTAATTAAGTTTACTACATATTTTTGGTCTTAAATTTCTTGAAGCTGACCCTGAGCGGTCACACAGACTACATACATGACATCTCCATAAAAAATGACGGTAACACACTAGCTTCTGCCTCAGAGGATGGATCTGTCAACATCTGGGGTGAGTTTTAGGGTTTACTTGGGACAAAAACAAAGTGCCCCATGTTAGAGACAACAGAGAGCCCTGATTATATTTTCTTTGAACAAGGTTGAAAATTATCTGTATAAAATTATAGTTATTGTTGGCACTGTGTGTTTATGAGATGTGAACATTGCCTTGAGAATAAAATCTGGTATATCCTGCAGACATAAGAGACAGTGCTGAGCCAGTACATTCCATTGTCCCACACAAAATAGAGGCAAGAATATTACTGTTTTATATTAATCTACAATCTAATGGTGACACACTGGCTTAAAAGATGCATGTATTCCGTGGAATGATTAAGTTTTGAAGTTTTTTTTAACTTTCTTTTTAATTTTGTTAGTCAAAAAAATATTTGATGTGCTTGATGCTGCATTTATCATAAAATTTGATATAAGAGATGGAAAAAGAAATATTTTTATTTCAGAATAAGCAATCTTTAATTAGGGCCCCGCAAGGATTTGCGGGTGCCCTAGAGTAATCACTCTGTCTGTCTGTTTAGCTGTCTAGCTGTCCAGCTGTCTGTCGGACTGTCATTCTTCCGTCCAAAAATTTTCTGTTTTTTCCTAATAACTTTTTTTATGGTTGCCCAATTAAGATCAAATTTGGTATGGTAGTTCAATAGGCAGAAAGACATATTTTGATGGTAAGTTTGTTTCTCTATGTCCCCTGGTTTGGAGCTGGGGTGGTGGGGTAGATTCCTTAACTTTATATAAGAATGCATTGGCAAAGAGAGATAACTGCAGAAAATGTTCCCATTGTAAACTGAATGCTGCTATGAGTCCCTTGGGATTAATTAGCTATCCTCCTGAAGAAAATCCAAAGCATTATCTTTATCTGTCACATTGAGATTAATTACCACCTCTGTTTGCAAATGATGTTTGTTTTGAAGTTAAGTCAATTTAAAATGCTATGAACACTCAAAAATGTGGATTTAAATATAAATGTTTATACTTTATTTTTGTTAAAATACTGTAAATCACTTTTTATTCGCGAGAACTTAATTTTCGCGTAATTATGCGAGACGATATGCTCGCGAAAATTTCATTCTCGGGTACAATAGAATTCCATAAGGTTATATAGAGCAACAAAGATAATTCGTGAAAATTTTGTCTCGCTGATAAGGAGTCCATGACTATCTCGCGAAAATAAGGTGTCGAGAAAATTAAGTGATCTACAGTACGCTACACAATGAGTTATGATTTCATTGAATTTTAAAAACAAGAAATAGATTAAAGAAGATATATTTTTTATTTTTACTTTTTTCCCTTTATGTAAACTCAAGAATATTATTAATTTTTAAGGTAGTTGGATAAAAATTCCATTCTATCATTAATACTGAAAAAGTTCTTATTGTAACTTTAGAAGAAAATGATGAGAGAGTTACAATTAATCCCTTAGGATTAATTATCTAGCCTGCTGCAGAAAGTTTAGTAGGCTTTTCTTTATCTGTCACTTTAAGATTAATGAAAACCTTTGTCTGCAACTGCTGTTTGTTTTGAAGTTAAGGTCAAGCCTTCTTGATATTTGCATTCATTGAAGGCTGGCATTTTATATAACACACGCTTCATTATTGTTTAAATATACATTCAATGGTAAGTTGTTCTTTTCTGCCTAATGTAAATACAAGGATATTATTTACAGGTTTTTGGATATCAAGGAATTACCTTGAAATTTTAAGAATACAGTTGCTGTTGCTTATTCTTCATATATTTTTGAATCATTCCATAAGCTGCACCCCTATAATTCTACCCCATGGCGGGACCCTTGCTGACTGGTCAATTTCCTAGTTTTTAGAAATCAGCTGGGATTAAGACATATTTTTTACAGAGTTGTGGTAGGCCCAGTTTAGGTAAATGGATTGGATGTGTTGATATGGACTCCTCTGATGACTGGTTGGTGAGTGATATACACAGATTTATAAGTTATTAACTCACATATGTGAAACTGTACATTAAAATCTCAAATTTATGAAGAAACTTCGTATTCAAGATACTGAAGGTTAAATACTTCAAGAATGACTGGTTAGTAATTTTAATTCATTTTGATATTTCCATGGACATGGTATTTGAGATACATTGTTTGTGTGTCAGAAATACCGAAGTTCAAGCGTATCTCAATTTTTCAGTACAGTATCTTCATTTGATATTTTGACCTGTATCTTGCTAATCTAAACTTATTTTCTAGAGTTTAAAATTAAACTATTATTTCATCATATATTTGACATTAATTTACAAATACCTGTGTATTTAGACAAAACTCTTAAATTTTATTTCAGGGAATGTACTCGCTAAACATGTACAATATATACAATGTTTTGTCGTTGAATATGGATATACATGTTTTTGATATTTTCACGAGTGCGAGGCACGCGTGAAAATATAAAAAAATCCTGTCTCATGAAATAAATTCCATATTGAATTTTCTGTTTATTACATTTTTTTAAAAAAATTCTTTGATTTTTTCTTTGCCTCTGTCTTTTTGCAATACAGTCATAGGCTCGTGACGTCATAGTTGAGCTGTTGAGACGTCATAGCTATGTGAAGTGAAAACACTGTAAACATGAATTTAGCAACATATTTTTGGTAATTTTGACAGTTTTATTCGCTGTCAGAATGGTTTATTTATTTCCATCTATCTTATATTAGGTCAAAGAAGATTTTTTTACAACAATCTTCGTTATGAGAAGGGAAGTCGAGAGTTTTCCCGCACTTCTGATATTCGTCACACTGTGACAGGATATCATTTTGATATCCTTTCACACTGTGACAGAATATCATTTTTATTCAATGAATAAATTACAGTGTGTCACGGGTAAAAATGTAATAAACATGTATTTTCCTTTCTCCATACATTTGATGGTGTTTATTCCTTAGGTGTGTGGAGGTGGACCAAAAATGTCACTGTGGCACCTCAGATCAATGACAACCACCACCGTGTTTGATACACCCAAAGTGTGCCAACAAACCGTTCAGTTCTATGAAGACACGGTAAGAAAACCACAGTGTTTGATACACCCAACGTGTGCCAACAAACCGTTCAGTTCTATGAAGACACGGTAAAAAAACCAAAGTGTTTGATACACCCAAAGTGTGCCAACAAACCATTCATTTCTATGAAGACACAGTAAGAAAAACAACAGTGTTTGATAGACCCAAAGTGTGCCAACAAACTGTTCAGTTCTATGAAGACACGGTAAGAAAACCACAGTGTTTGATACACCCAAGGTGTGCCAACAAACCGTTCAGTTCTATGAAGACACGGTAAGAAAACCACAGTGTTTGATATACCCAAAGTGTGCCAACAAACTGTTCAGTTCTATGAAGACATGGTAAGTAAACCACAGTGTTTGATAGACCCAAAGTGTGCCAACAAACCGTTCAGTTCTATGAAGACATGGTAAGTAAACCACAGTGTTTGATAGACCCAAAAGGTGCCAACAAACTGTTCAGTTCTATGAAGACACGGTAAGAAAACCACAGTGTTTGATACACCCAAAGTGTGCCAACAAACCGTTCAGTTTTATGAAGACACGGTAAGAAAACCACAGTGTTTGATACACCCAAAGTGTGCCAACAAACTGTTCAGTTCTATGAAGACACGGTAAGAAAACCACAGTGTTTGATACACCCAAAGTGTGCCAACAAACTGTTCAGTTCTATGAAGACACGGTAAGTAAACCACAGTGTCTGATACACCCAACAAACCGTTCAGTTTTATGAAGACACAGTAAGAAAACCACAGTGTTTGATACACCCCAGGTGTTCCAACAAAATGTTCAGTTCTATGAAGACACGGTAAGTAAACCACAGTGTCTGATACACCCAAAGTGTGCCAACAAACCGTTCAGTTTTACGAAGACACGGTAAGAAAACCACAGTGTTTGATAGACCCAAAGTGTGCCAACAAACTGTTCAGTTCTACGAAGACACGGTATAAGAAAACCACTGTGACAGTGTTTGATACACCCAAAGTGTGCCAACAAACCGTTCAGTTTTATGAAGACACGGTAAGTAAACCACAGTGTCTGATACACCCAAAGTGTGCCAACAAACTGTTCAGTTCTACGAAGACACGGTAAGAAAACCACAGTGTTTGATACATTCAAAGTGTGCCAACAAACTGTTCAGTTCTACGAAGACAGGGTAAGGAATCCACAGTGTTTGATACACCCAAAGTGTGCCAACAAACCGTTCAGTTTTATGAAGACACGGTAAGAAAACCACAGTGTTTGATACATTCAAAGTGTGCCAACAAACTGTTCAGTTCTACGAAGACAGGGTAAGGAATCCACAGTGTTTGATACACCCAAAGTTTGCCAACAAACTGTTCAGTTTTATGAAGACATGCTATGAAAACCACAGTGTTTGATACACCCAAAGTGTGCCATTAAAGTGTTCAGTTCTACGAAGACATGGTAAGAAAACCGCAGCGTTTGATACACCCAAAGTGTGCCAACAAACCGTTCAGTTTTATGAAGACATGGTAAGAAAACCACAGCCTTTGATACACCCAAGGTGTGCCAACAAACTGTTCTGTTCAGTGAGAACACTGAAGGGGAATCTAACCTCCTTACTTGTAAAAAATGTCTAGACTTTTCAGACATGGTCAGTGTTTATTCATGCATAGTTCTTGGCTTACGATTAATTTATTTATGTTTTAGATAATCTCTGCTGGGATGGACCACTTTGTGAACCACTGGTTTGTCAATGGTGAGCTGAAAGCCCAGGTTCCCTGTACCCCCACCTCTGTGTTCAATGTCTGCATCAACAACAGTGAGGAGAAATACAAGGTATTCTTTCACTGAACATTCTATTGCTGATTGTTTAGCATACTGCAATTAGGTTTCTATTTAAAAATACAATTGAAAATGCCTGCTGAACAGTAGCAGTCCTTGACTTTGATATTATTTATTTTGCAGGTTCTAAGTGTTAGTGGTAGCAGTTACAAGATTGACATTTGTACAAACTTTGGATATAGAGCTTTCTCATTTGTACTCTCTCCAGATTAGGACGATACAAGTGTCTGAGTAAGACACTTGTATCGTTTACTTTGTAAAATATTTCAGTTGTATAAAGCCTGAATGTGTTCAAAACTGCAAAGAGAACTGCACAGATTATGAGGTCATATTGTATACATGAAGCTTCTAGTTGATGTATGTTTTATGTTTGTCCCAGCTCTACCAATCCACTTTTCCAACCTAGCCATGTCCAAAGATGAGCATGGTAAACCTTCGCATATTTTGTCACCTTTAAATAAAGGAATAAATATTGATATTTTCTATTATAAGGTTTACTTTTTATCCCTTGGCATATCATTCTTGAAACTAGGGAGAGCCAGAAAAAAAGTTGGGTAAGGGGGGCTTCCTTTCAAAACCAAGCTTTATTAACACAATGGAACTACCATGGAGGGGGGGGGTAACCAGCATTTCAATGAATCTTTTTAATACTAAAATGTTATGTTTGGAAAAAAAGGAGGTTTGTAGTCTCCCTACTGCCCAATAGGATGTGTCTTGTACACATCCACAAATACCAGATATTTCCTAGATATTTAGTAGAGGAATCTAGAATATACTAGTAACACAGCTATATAATTATTGGCAAACAACTGATGTAGTCATCAGAAGCCCAGACTACAACTGATTCATTTAAAACAACCCAACTATTCTTTCTTTTTTGGGGGGGGGGGGACTTTTATACAAGGCGAAGAGACAAAAAAAAATTGATTTTGTGTTAACTATTTATTAAATACTTTAAAGTTCACTTTAATACTTGTTTTAGAATGGAATATTTGAGGAGTAATAATTGTATTAACTTTATGTAAAGGATAATGTAGGCCAGATCTTTATCTAGAACTGAAAAGTTACAGAGTAATTGAAACATTTGTACATGAGTCATGCATGTAAATCTACGGTTTCATCTTAGGCGCTTGGTTTCTAGATCTGTCTCAATACTCTCATTTAAAATAATTTTTTTTTAAAAATCGCAGTTTTTATTTACAGAAAAATATATAAATTTATAAAATGCTCATTTCTGCGATTTTTTATTGCATTTTAATGAGTGTTCAGACAGACTTAAAAAATTACAAAATAAATCATCCTGGAAAACAATCCATGTATGTCGCTTTAATACATGGTGTTTTAACATTTTTTTCTTCAAAGTAACCGCATAAACCATCATCTTATGCATTGCAGTTTATTAGTGTGTGTAACCCCCCCCCCTCCTCCCCCAAAGATCACGAGGATGGGGGTAGATAGGACGGATAGTTATGTAGGTTGCGTTGTTATGGCCTCCGTATCGGTGTTAGCTGTAAGTTGCTGGGTTACTAGTTATGTAGGTTGCGTTGTTATGGCCTCTGTATCTGTGTTAGCTGTAGGTTGCTGGGTTACCAGTTATGTAGGTTGCGTTGTTATGGCCTCCGTATCGGTGTTAGCTGTAAGTTGCAAGGTTACTAGTTATGTAGGTTGCGTTGTTATGCCTCTGTATCTGTGTTAGCTGTAGGTTGCTGGGTTACCAGTTATGTAGGTTGCGTTGTTATGGCCTCTATATCGATGTGAGCTGTAGGTTGCTGGGTTACTAGTTATGTAGGTTGCGTTGTTATGACCTCTGCATCGGTTTGAGCTATAGGTTGCTAGGTTACTAGTTATGTAGGTTGCGTTGTTATGGCCTCTGTATCGGTGTGAGCTGTAGGTTGCTGGGTTATTAGTTATGTAGGTTGCGTTGTTATGGCCTCTGTATCGGTGTGAGCTGTAGGTTGCTGGGTTACTAGTTATGTAGGTTGCGTTGTTATGGCCTCTGTATCGGTGTGAGCTGTAGGTTGCTGGGTTATTAGTTATGTAGTTTGCGTTGTTATGGCCTCTGTATCGGTGTGAGCTGTAGGTTGCTGGGTTATTAGCTATGTAGGTTGCGTTGTTATGGCCTCTGTATTGGGGTGAGCTGTAGGTTGCTGGGTTATTAGTTATGTAGGTTGCATTGTTATGACCTCTGTATCGGTGTGAGCTGTAGGTTGCTGGGTTACTAGTTATGTAGGTTGCGTTGTTATGACCTCTGTATCGGTGTGAGCTGTAGGTTGCTGGGTTATTAGTTATGTAGGTTGCGTTGTTATGACCTCTATCGGTGTGAGCTGTAGGTTGCTGGGTTACTGGTTATGTAGGTTGCGTTGTTATGGCCTCTGTATCGGTGTGAGCTGTAGGTTGCTGGGTTACTAGTTATGTAGGTTGCGTTGTTATGGCCTCTGTATCGGTGTGAGCTGTAGGTTGCTGGGTTATTAGTTATGTAGGTTGCGTTGTTATGGCCTCTGTATCGGTGTGAGCTGTAGGTTGCTGGGTTACTAGTTATGTAGGTTGCGTTGTTATGACCTCTGTATCGGTGTGATCTGTAGGTTGCTGGGTTACTAGTTATGTAGGTTGCGTTGTTATGGCCTCTGTATCGATGTGAGCTGTAGGTTGCTGGGTTACTAGTTATGTAGGTTGCGTTGTTATGGCCTCTGTATCGGTGTGAGCTGTAGGTTGCTGGGTTACTACATTTCCTGGTTTGGGTTGAACTGAGATCTCGCTCTCGCACCTGTTATTCTTACTACAACAGCGACATGTCCGTCTGTTAGAGCAGTGAGTACAACATTTACAGTCGCAGCCATTGTATTCAGTCGACGGCCACGTACACCAGGGGTCGCACTCACAACAGTGACACAGAATCCAGTATCCACAGGGCTCACGGCAGCATTCACACTCACGAAGGTTACAGTGCTTCGGAGAACAGCCGCACTCACCATAATCCTCTATTTCACAGTCCGGCGCTTTACACCAGATATTTCGACAGTCAAAGCAACAGTCTCTCACACAAAGTCCGCAGCCAGAACACATCCCCTCACAGCACGTTCCATCCCACCGCTCTATCCATTTACCGCAGTAGTGATCATCACAAACGCACACACCACAACAAGGGCATAAACAGTCGTTGCAGCCAAGACATTCCTCTGTCTTACACTCGCAACAGCCGCAGTCACATTCCAATTTACAACAATCACAGCCCTGGCAATCCGCGCCCCCGCAATCACAACCGCTACAGTCACATCCCCCAAAATCGCAGCCTCCAAGGTCAAGGTCACACATATTTTAACAACTTCTGTTTTCACATCAATATGAAACCTGAAAGTATACAAATCTATTTTTTTTATTATTTTTACTCTATTTACATTTTGTAAAGACTTTGTAAGGTGCAATAAAAGTTCGGTCATTTTATTTTTAGCAAGAAACACGAATTCAGAAAAATAAATTCGTTGCACTAAATAAGACCCGTGTGTTACAGCATTGAAGATGGCTTGCTGGAAAAGAAGATCTTTGTTTAATTTATGAAAATGCATTATATATTATAGCTGGAATATGTAGGTTTTACTTTGCCGAATAATTAAATCTATAAAGAAAAATGAAATATATTTCATATTTTAAGTGGATACCGTGATCATTCCAGTAGGAAATGTTATAGACATTTTTTGGCTGATATAAATACATGTATTGCAATATTTTCTTTCAATAATAATTTAGAATTTAATTTTTATTCATTATCACCATGTTTCTATCTGTATAGACCACTGGAAATAGTTATGTGATACTAGTTATAAATTATCCTTTGTTATTATGCGTATGAAGTTCGTTAATTGAAGAACCGGGTTGGTAATAATGAATTTTTATATTGATAATTGATCAAACATGTGTTTACTGAAACTATTCGAAATGGGATGTAAAGTACAACATTTTATATAATTTGCAAGGATAAAGTGAGGAAATGGGTATTTCACGGCAAACGAAAAATTACTCTATTCGTTTGAGATGTACCGGTTTTATTTGCCATTTTGTTCACACAAATACAACCCAGTGGTTTGCTGTCACATTGCTTTTCACTATACCAGTCTTGCAGCGTGGTTTCAGTATTTAGCTGTACGTTCGAAAAATTGTATACTAGTACAATTCATGCAAGTTCCATTCAAATTGAATCGAATTAGAAAAAAATACTAATCATACCTTAGTTTTACAATATTGTTTTTATAGGACTGTACTTAAAGATATATATGCAAACAATTTGTTTTATTTTAAAAAGATAAATATATGTCACAAGTTATATAAAAGTTATATATTCTTAAATATTTTCTCCTAAGAACTTTTAAAAATGAAATATTATTTGGAAAAATTATTAACTCTTTCAGTGAAAAAACAAATATAGACAAATCACATAAAGTAAAGGTTTACAGGTGAAAACAAATTTCAGAATATGTTACCTTGGTGCTAAAATTGTAGTATAAACTTTAGAGAAATATACAAACAAGCCATAATTTGTGAATTTTATTAGAGAGGATTTCTTGGAACAAAATGACAAAAAATCATCAATATCACTTAGGCTGATTTTTACAATTTAGCTTTTCCAAATAAAATTCACCTGGCTTTGTATATTTTTAGGTTATCAGCATTGGCTCGGGCTAATTCGTAAGTGAAATTTGGAGTTTGGCAGTAAAGTTAAATAGGGTAATGTTGTAGGGAATGAATAAAATTTAGTAGTGAAAGATATTGGAACCTATTTTACTTGTCAGGTTTCTTCGATATTTTTTACACTTTTAAAAAAAAACGCTGCTACCAAGGTGTTCATCGAAATGCTTGGTTGTGCTTTCAAACTGGAAGAGTTTTTAATTTCTAAGAAGGCAAGATGCATGGTATGTAAGTTTCATACATATGTTATGTAGTTCATATTAAAAAAAACCCTAAGGGATAATTGTTTTCAACTTTATATACATTGTACTTGACATAAATTTTTTGAATGTGATTTAAATGTTCACCCAACCGATATTTGTTTTTTTATTGAAATATTTTCACTTGTTAATATTTTCGGGATTAGTGTTTTTCATATTTTCCAGCTCTAGCCTTTTCGAAGTAGAAACCCAAAATGCATTAAATGCAACTCATTGAGCTGATTGGTCTATTTGTGTTCCTCACTGAACAGACGTCATATTTTCCTCGACCTGATGATTCACTTTTCTATAACTTATCGTGACCAGTACTGATATTTAATCTTTTGCAATAGAAAAAAATTTTTTTGTATCATACTGTTTAACACGGCATACATATCTTTAACTCAAAACATATTCATAATGCATGTGATACCACGAACTCGAATTAAACAGGCAACTTGAATTAAACAGGTAACTCGATCTAAACAGGCAAGGCCAGTGAATGACAAACTAAAACCACACCTTTATAACGCAGTCTACCAGTAACCCACCCCCCAAACAAAATAGCCATAAGAGAAGAAACGGTTACTTACGATACTACAGAGGGATAGGAGTGTTGTCCATAGGACTTTGTTGTGGTGTCGCCACATAACAGTTTAAATGTCCACTAGTCCTAACAGACTCGAGTATTTAAGCTTGTTATTAATACGAGCAGATCTTTACTAAAAATAAATATTAGTACTTTAACTGTTACTGAATGATCGACAGACAGTTTCATTTTGTTTAGAATTTGAATCTTTCATTGAATAAGCATTTTATACAGAGTATATAATATCGAGGGATGATGAAAAGTCTCCAGATGTTCTTTAGCCAGTGTTTTAAAAAGTTATGTTTAATTTATGTAAACATGTTATAAAATTCTTTGCACTTTGGAGTAAAGAGGTATGAATATAGATGTTGTATTATAGATTACATAAAAAATTGTACTTCAGTGGGGTATAAATATAGGCACATATATTTTATTATAGATTACCTTAAAATTGAATTGTACCTCAGTCAGGTACAAATACTGATATATTTATACTCGTATATTTTATTATAGATTACATAATAAAAATTTTTAATACATAACTTCTTGAGATAAATATAGGCACATATATGTTTATTATAGATTACCTAAAAAATTTAAAAGTGCCTGGAGTTCCTCATGACATGATCTATGTAGTCTCTGGAAACATCAGTATTTTATTATAGATTACCTTAAAATTGTACTTCAGTGAGGTTTAAATATAGATATTTTATCTTAAATTACCTAGAAACTGTACTTCAACGATGCAAGAAGTGTAAATGAAATACACGTATGGATTCTCAAAAATTTCAAAGAAACTCTAGAAAAAATGTAAAATTGATTTATTTTTCTTTTTAAAAAAATAACATCAAAATGTATTTATACCTTTTCAACCTTTTTGATACATAACTTCTCTTCATGATAAACCAAAGACCAGACACCAACAAAACAGAACTTTGTTAAAAATCATTTTGATTGTACACTATAATCCTAAAGAAATTTAAAAGTGCGCTGGAGTTCCTCATGACATGATCTATGTAGTCTCTGGAAACAAGGTCTTCCAACAATCTGTTGAAATTTCGATGAGCAGAAAATATGCTATTTTATATTCCACCTGTTTTTTTAACCGGTTGTACATGTAGTACGATTGATTGATTGTATGTTGTTTAACGTCCCTCTCGAGAATTTTTCACTCATTGGAGACGCCACCACTTACCGGTGGAGAGCTGCAAATTTTGTCCTATGCTCGGCACTGAGGGCCATTGAGCAGGGAGGGATCTTTTTCGTGCCAGCACCTACTGCGACACGGGAACCGCGGTTTATAAATACGGTCTCATCCGAAGGACCGGTCTCCACGTCCCAAAGTGGGATTCGAACCCGCGACGTAAGGATCAACTCCTTACTTCGCGACTCTAGAGCTCTAACCACTTCCCCATGCGGACGACTCATGTCGTAGGAAGTCCAGCATGTAGTATATAGGAAGTCCAGTTTATTGCAAAAATGGAAATGGCGGGTGGACGATTGCTAAAAATGTACACAATTGCCCGAATAACTACGACAGTTAAAAAAAACACACGCCCTTTTTTGTGCATTATTGTACATACATGTGTATCGATGATGTTTGTATTCGGCCAATATTAATGTTTGTTTACCCTCTCCAGACTTAGGATGAAAAATTGGATTGGTAGTTAGGTGAGATTGTTATTATTTCTCAGAAAACTCCAATAAATTTCAATTTCAGTGCTAATTTTTAAGTCACCTGAGTAAACTCAGGTGACCTATTGCTATCCGTTTTCGTTCGTCGTCGTTCATCGTGCGTTAACATTTGAACATTTTCAGCTTCTTTTCTGAAATCGCCGAACCAATTTCAACCAATTTTGCCATATAGCATCTATGGGTGAAGGGAAACAAAAATTATGAATTTCTTCTTCTTTATCAAACTGTTGGTATGATTGTAATCCCCCCCCCCCTTCTTCTCTGTTCATGGGCATTAAATAAACTAACCAAGTTCATAGTTATGTTTGATAAGGCCTGGTGGGCAGGGGTGGGGACCTATATAACCACTAAAATTAGTGCAATCTTTAAAAATCTTCTTCTTTACTCCTGTACATCAAGCAGTCAAACTGTTGGTATGATTGTAATCAGCATTGAGTCCTCTACCAAAATTATGAAATTCATGGCCCCAGGGTCAGGGGTTCTAGTGCTAGGGCGGGGCTAAATAGATTATATAGTGAAAATGCATAAGTTCTTTGAAATTCTTCTTCTCTGTTCATGGGCATTAAATAAACTAACCAAGTTCATAGTTATGTTTGATAAGGCTGCCTCTTCCAAAATTGTGAATTTCATGGCAGGGGTTCTAGTGCTAGGACGTGGCTATATAGATTATATAGTGATAATGCATATTTTTTTTTAATTTCTTCTTCTCTGCTCATGGGCGTTAAATAAACTAACCAAGTGCATAGTTATGTTGATTAAGGCTGCCTCTTTCAAAATTGTGAAATTCATGGCTCCAGGGTCAGGGGTTCTAATGCTAGGGTGGGGCTATAAAGATTATATAGTGAAAATGAATTATTTCTTTGAAAATCTTCTTTTCTGTGCCTTGGTATTAAACCAATGAACTACAAATGTATATACATAGTTATGAGGAAGAAGGATGCCTCTTTGAGATTTGTGAATTTCAGGGCCACTGGGTCAGGGCTTCTTGTGTTAGGGCGGGGCTCTATGCATGAATTATTTGAAAATCTTTTCCTTTGCTGTATTTTTTCTGACCCTGGGTCAGAGGTATTTGGAGGGGGAGGGTACATAGTCTGAATATAGATTAATGC